CATCGATGGGGCGGGGCTGGCACAAAAAGAGACCTTTTTGACGTTTAAGAAAAACATGATAACCTCAGCTAATAATTTATGAAATTTCCAATAATAAGCCTATGGGGCTGAGCCAGGGTTTCCATTTCCGCTGGCATTGACCAAGTTCATAAATTACCAAAGTCTTAGGCCAGGGCTCTGCATAATGTGGGTCTGTGTGGCATGGACTGTGGCTGGCACGTGCAACTAGTTTGCTGATTGATTAAACCACGCAAGCATCCCACCAGCAACTTGAAACGGCATCAACTACAAGCAAGGGAACGTTCCAGGAATTGTTATTAGATCGTTTGCTAGTTTTCCCCATTCCCATACACTTCGGAACGGTTGTCCTGGTACTGGAGCTGGTGCTGATGTGGATGTTGATTTCGGGGCTGGAGCAGAAGCTGAAGCTGATGGTGATGCTGATCTGACGTGGACGGCACACGTGCTAAAGTCACTTTTAACGGAAAAACTCGGCACCACTTAACACGGTCCCAGCTCCAGACGGGAGTTCCATCCAGCCCAGAACGTAACCCCATGTTCATTGACTCAGACGTGACAAGTGCGGGCAATGGGCGATATCCAGAGCCAGATACCCTGAGAAGGGACTGCGTCTCATTGTCATGTGTAACGCGTAAATGGGGCGCTGGGCGGGGCTAGTGATGAGTGGCAGCCAGGAATAACCAATATGACAGCCTCGGGCAAGGTCGCTGATTAAAGCGCATGGGCATCAAGTATACGCACTGTGTACTCTCGTTATCACTCTCACTCTCATTTTAGTACTTAAAGTCGAGCATAAGCATGCCATACCATAAAATCAAATACCAAACGGGCTGACAAAATTACTTGCAGAAATATTTAACAACTCAAGTGCGAGCATGCTAAAAATCCAGATTGTTGTCAACAGGCAAACACTCGAGGACATTGTGGAAACATTAGATGCTTCATCCTCTTCCTGGTAGTCCTTAAAAACGTAACAAGAATACAATCCACCCACAACACCCTATGTTTAAGCACCAGTGTTTAAAAGAAGGCAGAGCTAGGCAAATATTTGGGAATTTATGTTGACATATTTCCCACAGCCTTACGACTAACTCTACGGGGTGCATCCCTCTGCTGGAGCCAGCCATGAAGCATGTTAATTCCATAATGGTTTGATGACAAAGCTCTCCGCTTGACCACTGCAGACGCGGAGAACTCGGCTTCTGCTGTGCTGTGCGGCGAGTATTCATTAGAAATGCAAATCAGCCTGGCGACATCTTCAAGTTCAAGTTGGCAATAAATTTCGTGGTGCGTTGCGGGTGTGAGTGCGCGAGCTCTGGGGGAAAGGCCAGGCAAACCAGGTGACAGTGGTGCCAGCCAGTTTCCAGTGTCTAAGTATACGGGCAACCCGTTTCTGGCCCGGGGCCAACCATCTGGGCGTTCGTTCGGTCTGGCTTATATAGCCCAATGGTGCGTCCGACGTTCTGCAGATCCAGAGACAGCCGCCGCCGCCCTCCCTGCTTAATTGTTAGTGCTCTCTTTATGGCTTTCATTACGTATAAGCAGTGTTGCGCCAAATTTATGTCAACCAGCGAGACGCGAATGGGCGCACACTATGTGTATCTGTGTGTTTTATTTTCTAATAACTCTCTTAGTGTGGGTGTGTGCTTGTTTGGATGGATGCTTGTGTATTTGTAATTAGTGTTTTGTATTGTACGTTTATTATTCATATTAAAAGCCGTTGCCGTTGCTTAATAAATTAAACGACAATTCTCACTTGGAAAATCCACTGTCTCGTAAAGCGTCCGTCCTTACGTGAAAAATGTTTTGAAAAAGCCGGCAACCGGGACATAGTGCCAGCATTAACCAGAGGCATGCTTGCAATTAAAATAAAAAGCAAAGCTAAAGAGTCGTCGACAATATGCACTACATACACGTATACGAGCACTGTGTCTAGAGCTACATCTGGGCTTAAGACGCGTACTTAGGAGGACTCGAAAATAATTCATTGCCTCCCTGTGGGCGGCCACAATAATCCTGGAATTTATTCGGGTACGAACGCTACTTCTGAAGGTAGAAGCAGATCATTCTCAGATATTTAATCTGGAAGCACTTCCAAGAATCAGGGCATTTTCTAGTCCCATCAATTCGGGTGCCAATTTGCCAGAGTGCAGTAATCTGCTTTCTGCTTTCTGCTCATCTTTTTAATAAATAATCTGGGGCTGAAAAACAACCGAAAAATAATAATCAAAGACTGTCGTCGTTGCCGTTTGATTGTCATGCAATAATTGCTATCCTATCCGATATTTGCATATCAAATTTAATAAATTTGCATATTTTTTTCTGCAGACACCGACACCGGCCAATTTTATGGCTAACTGGCAGCTGGCTGTTTTTTTTTTCTTTAGCGAAACAGTTTTTGTTGCCTTTTTTGGTGCGGTATGCGGAAATATTTTTTCAAATAGAATCGAAAGAACGGCGGGCAGCTCGTAAAATGTTCTTAAAAGGCAGCCGCTCAAACATTTCTGCAAAAGAAAGGCAAGAAGCAAACAAACTAGTCAGACTAGTATGAGTATCGTATCAAAAAGTGCAAAATATTCCACATAAACCTTGTGATTTAAGGAACTTACTAATGCTCCTATTTATGATGTGAGATGACAGTTTCGTTTTAGTGGTTTTTGCACCTGAAAGACCCCGCCCCGGTTTGACAGCTATTATGCCATATAATTTAGGTATGCTCTTTCGGACTTTACCTTATTTTGTTTGTTTTTTCGCTACAATGGCAATAAAATAATATAGGGGGTAGGCTTATTGTTCAGAAGAAAGGGGGAAAAACATTAACAACAGTGACAGATTTTGTAAATAGATCGATTGACCCCAAAGGGCATTTGCATAAAGCGCTGTCCGGTCTCCGGACGCCGGAGTTCCCTCCCGGAGCTGGGTCGATTTTTATTTATTTATTGATACGCCAACGTTGTCCGACCGCTATTATCGGCTGACTTTGTGGGGGACTGGAAGGAGAGGTCTGGTCTCTGCGCTCCGCTGCCTTTTTGAATCTTATCCATTTTTATGTCGCCGCTGCGTGCATCTTTTATGTGCGTGTGGCGCCCGAGACCTTGAAATTGTGGCTGGTTTGTTTTATTAGGTTTACATTTGTTTAGTTTGCATATGACATTGCCACCAGCGACATGGAGAGTGGCAGAGCAGCCACAGAGCAGCAGAGAGTCCGGCCATTGGTCGATCAGCAACAGTTGGATCCGATTCGAGTCGATTGGATCGGGTTGGGTTGGGTTGGGTTGGGTTGGGTTTCGGTGGGGCGCACAGACAAAGACAAGACAAATTGTTTGTGACTTCGACTGTGAATCTTGATTAGATTCCGATGAGCACGCTCCAACTCCGCTGCGATGGGAGACCTAGAAAGATATAGAACGAAAGATGCGGATGGATGGATGACTCGGCATAGACCATAGGCCTGCTCCATGACCCCCATCTTCGGGTTACTCATAGCTATAGTTATCCATGATATCAATCATTTGATCTTAGTCATAAGCCCGGCAGGCAGTCACAGATTTCGCTATTGATTTGCAAATCTATGCGTCTATCTTAAATATGGATCTTGGGTATTTCTCTGCCGAAACTCTTTAATTATGCAAATCGAATCAGTTTTCAGCACAATGTTGTTGCTATTTCGCTCCTTCTACACCCGAAATTTTTGTGTATCAATACGCAAAAGCAATAATTTTTATGATATCAATAAACCATGATGAAAAACGTGATAATCGCTGATCAGATTAAATGGACGCCTGGCGCCAGCTGATTACCGGCGGATGGCTATGGCTCTAGGCGATGCTGGTAAACAGTAAAAAACCTCAAGGTCGCAACGGTTGTTAACTTTATGGCTTCTATTTGGCCGAACAGAGCACCGTGTTTTTGCTACAGGTTAAATGGATGAGATGACGGCACGGACGGATGGACAGATCGATGGATTGATAGATGAATGAATGGTTGGGCAAAAAAGGCTGGCGAAAATTGATTTCATCCATTGTTTTCCCTCCCCCCACCAGCAGCCTGCATTCCAACCAATGTAACTTGATAAGCTTTGTTTGGCTATCGGAAAGACCATACAGCGAAAGAAGAGCCAGTTCCAAATACTGAATACCGAATATCAAATACCAAATGCCGAATACCAAACCGTGGACGGACGCAATAATCGTTTGGGAATTCCCAGCTAGAAATATGTGGTTGAACAAACTAAAAAGTGTAGAAAAACCGAGCCGGTCTCGTCTAGTTTTCGTCTCGTACAACTCGTTTTTTGATGCTCCGCCAAATGTTTTAGCATATAAAATATGAAGAAAAACATTTCTTTTATTGAAAGCATGACCATTTATAGTGGCTTTTGCTAAACAAGTTTGCTGCTCCGCTCGGCTGTGCTCTGCTCTCCTCTGCTGATGACCCGAGCCTGCCTGCCCTGATGCGATGCGATGCGGTGCTGGTCTATCGATTTACAATCTGAGCGACCGCCAAAGGTTGTCGTATTAATGCGACTCACTCTTGGGCTATGGTTAGGGCTAGTGCTGCTTGTAGTTGGCTCTGACACTGGAAAATTATCATAATGGTGGCAGCAACATTTGCAAGAATAGGGCGACAAGATAGCACTGCGCTTTGTCCGCAGCGATGGCGCCATTGTTTTATCGCTTTGGCGTCTCTGTCGAAGGTGGACAGCCATTCGAGAGACAAAGGCAGCGGCAGAAGAAGCTACTGCAAAATGCTCCAAGCCCAAGCCCAAGCCGAGCGGAGCCGATCGGCAGCGGCTGAGGAAACAGCAGCAACAGCAACAGCAACAGCAACAACGACATGGCCAGAGCCCAGAGCAGCCTCCGTGGCCACGGCAAAAGTCTGCATGAACTTGAGCGCAGTCTAGTGACACCGATCGGTGGTTTTCGTATAAATACTGGACCTTTCGGTGATGCAAACGTCAGACACAATTCAGTGGTCGAAGTCAAAGAACTAAATTAAAAATGCGTGCATTCATTGTAAGTATCCAGGGCAACCCCCAAAGGATATCCAAGGATTACACTAACGCTCCTCTCTCCCTAGGTTATGTGCTTGGTGGCAGTCGCCTGCGCCGATAAGCTCGGCTACAACTACCAGCCCGTGGGACACTCCAACTCCGGCCTGTCCTTCGCTCCTGGTAGCGGCAGCATTGGCGGTGGCAGCATCGGCGGTGGCAGCATCGGCGGCGGCAGCATTGGAGGTGGACTTGGAGGACTTGGAGGAATTGGAGGTGGTCTCGGAGGTGGCAGCATTGGTGGCGGATCCCTGGGCGGTGGCAGCATTGGCGGTGGCAGCATTGGTGGTGGCAGCCTCGGTGGTCTTGGCGGCCTTGGTGGCCAGTCCGGCGATTCTCTCAGCGCTCCCGTATCCTACAACGCCCCTGCCCCAGCTGCCGAGCTCGAGAAGGAGTTCTTCACCTTCACCGCTAACGAACAGGACTTCGATGAGCCCCAAGCTTTGGAACGCGTCTCTAGCTCTCTGAACAAGGCTCTGCGCGTCGTCTTCATCAAGGGACCCGAGAACCGTGGTCTGGAGAATGCTGCCCTGGCCCTGGCCAAGCAGGCTGCCCAGCAGGAGACCGCCATCTACGTCCTGAACAAGCAGGCCGATATCGGAGATCTGGCCAACAAGCTGAATGCCATCCGCAGCAACAACAACAACAAGCCCGAGGTGCACTTCGTCAAGTACCGCACTCCCGAGGACGCTGCCAACGCCCAGCGCGCCATCCAGGGTCAGTACGATCAGCTCGGTGGATCTTCCCAGGCTCACAACGGTGGTGTTGCTCCCGTCCTGAACTTCGCTTCGGCGGGACCAGTGCGTCAGGCTACCGCCCAGAACCCCGACAACTCCTACCTGCCCAGCTCCGTCTTCCGTCGCGTCTAAGTTGCTCGTTTGATTCTGAAATTCTGAATCGAAAACGCCAGCGATCTTTGACTGATTTTAAATCCTAGTTATTGTTGACTAATGAATAAATAAATTCCAATTTTTACATTTAAAAACTAATGTTTTTTAAATCCTGTTTGGTGGTTCTCCGATTCTGGTGGATCATTAGCAGCATTGCATTATTGCCAAAGGATTCCAATTGTAAGGAATCAAATGCTATCCGTAAGAGCTTTATAGCATTCATTCAAACTAAATTATCGAAAAACAATATATAAAACTTTTGTTTAAAGTAGTATGCCTAATAGGAATAGGCTATGAGCAAAAGAACGAGAACTAAAATATAAAATATTTAAATTAAATAAATTTCCTACAAATTGAATATGTTATATTATTTGAAAATGTTTTATATTTCGAATAAAAACAATAAAACATATTTCGTAATAAAAACACTTTTTAGTACACCTATGCTTAAATCAACGTGAATTCTATTTAATTTCACTTTTTTTTAATTGAAAAATAAATATTTCATTTAAATATTGCTTGGTTATTTGTTTCTATGCCATTTTCTGAGTGAAGATATGACAAATATGTGAAGTCTTCTTCAGGTTCCAGTCCTTTTACTGGTCGGGTCTTTGAAAGCCTTTAAAATATTGACTTTACTCAAAATAGATACAACAAAATATAGTTTAAAATTAAAAACAAAACTGTATGATTTTTTATTCGAAATTAACCTATAACAAATGGATCGACTAGAAAGCATTTCAGTGGCGCAGGCGATTGATGATCGAGGCGGGAAGGTAGTCGCTGTTGGGCGCTTGAACCTGACCAACACGGACTGGAGCAGGTGCACGGGAGGCAAAGTTCAGGGCTTTGGCGACTCCTCCGTTGATGGACTGCGAAGATCCACCCAGGTTGTCGTACTGCGACTGGATGGCGCGCTGGGCGTTGGCAGCGTCCTCGGGCGTGCGGTACTTGACGAAGTGCACCTCGGGCTTCTGGTTGGCGTTCTGGCGAACGGCATTGAACTTGTTGGCCAGCTCGTTGATGTCCGTTTGCTTGTGCAGGACGTAGATGGCGGTCTGCTGCTCGGCGGCCTGCTTGGCCAAGGCGAGGACAGCGTTCTCGTAGCCGCGGTTCTCGGGTCCCTTGATGAAGATGACGCGCACGCTCTTCTTCAGAGAGGCGGCAATCTTCCTCTGGGCCTCGGGATCCTCAAAGTCAGCCTCGTTGGCGTAGAAGCTGTAGAACTCCTTGGTCACTCCGGCCTGGGGAGCGGCATTATAGCTGACTGGGCCGCCTAGTCCCTTGCTGACTCCGACAATACCACTGCCAATGCCGCCACCGCTAACTCCACCGCTAGTTCCCTGTCCGTAGTTGTAGCCGGACAAGCGTCCGGCGCTGGCGGCCGCCACAAAGCATAAGATGATAAATGCACGCATTCTGATGTTGTCCTATCGCTGCCGAACTGTTCTAATAGAATGCGGGATGTATCTTTATTAACTAGCTTTTATACCGCCAACGCGAAGACGGTTAAAATTAGACCAGAAAATCTGGTCGAATTGAGCCGTCGCATAGCGTCGCGTCGGAGCTGAGCAGCGTTCCCGTCGCTTCTGGCCCGCTGGACCGCTGACGATCATCGATCTCCGAGCTCGACTCGTGAATGGCCAATGGCCATCGGGTTTTCGGAATGCTGTTAATCTGCTAACATAATTTCGCTCTTAACACATTTAACACATTGTTTTGAGCAGAGGGCCAGCTTCAATCGCGCCGCCATTTGCCCGAATGCGGTTCCGAGTGCAGGTCCAATTCCGATTCCGAGTCCGTGTACGAGTCCAGTCCCCGAGCTGGTGCGATCGACGATCGTTTTCCGAGCGGTGATTGGATAGCCGTGATTCACCCATAATTGGCTTATAATTTATGCATAAGACAGAGATCGGCGCTCACGCAATATGTTTGAATATGTATACAGAACCGCTTATTTGTTAATGATTTCAACAAAAAAGTGATCGTCAGCTTAATAAAATTAATGATTAGATTTTTGTTTTTATGGCTAATCAGGTTTCGATCGAGCATAAATCTTCTTTGTCTTCGTATGTGGGTTGCACTTGAGATTCCTTTCTAATTGTACCTGACACACGGCGGGGCCACACTCAAAAACCAGGTCACCTAACTGTTGTTGGCAGCTCCGAGACCTTGAGCTGTCACCAGCGGGGAATTAGTCAAGCCACTAACTGGGAGAACGAAAATTAATGTTTCCCCGGCGCCTAGGTGGGCGGAGATCCGTGAGTAATCTTGTAGCCAATTTGTTCGGATCGACAGGAAAGGAATTTGTCAAAAGCGTTTAGCGGAAAGTGAATCGTATACTTCTAACAGGAAACCTGTCTGTATATGAACGAGTGAGTATATTCTAGTTCAAACTAACTCAATCTATTTATAGTTTGAATGGCATTGTCTATATTTGCCGCATCCGTTAGCAAACAAGATCACGAAGCTCATAAAATTCTGAGCAGACATCCGCCATAAAACGGCACTTAGCCAAACATTAAAAGAACACCTTTGTCTGAATTTTCGGGGTCAAATATAAATCTCAAATTTATTCGGGTAATTATGCATTAGTCAACAATTTGTAACAAGAAGAGTCGGTAGTGAAGTTTCTTCAGTCGGTTCACACTTAAGCTAAGTTTAGGAATCCATTTAGAAACGCAGGCGACGGAAGACCGAAGTTGGCAGGTAGGAGTTGTCGGGGCTCTGAGCAGTAGCCTGACGCACTGGACCAGCGGAGGCGAAGTTCAGGGCTGGGGCAACACCACCATCGGTGGCCGAGGAGGTGCCACCGAGCTGATCGTACTGACCCTGGATGGCGCGCTGGGCGTTGGCAGCGTCCTCGGGAGTGCGGTACTTGACGAAGTGCACCTCGGGCTTGTTGTTGTTGTTGCTGCGGATGGCATTCAGCTTGTTGGCCAGATCTCCGATATCGGCCTGCTTGTTCAGGACGTAGATGGCGGTCTCCTGCTGGGCAGCCTGCTTGGCCAGGGCCAGGGCAGCGTTCTCCAGACCACGGTTCTCGGGTCCCTTGATGAAGACGACGCGCAGTCCCTTGTTGACTGAGCCGGCAACGCGCTCCAAAGCCTGGGGCTCATCGAAGTCCTGTTCGTTGGCGCTGAAAGTGAAGAACTCCTTCTCGAGCTCGGCAGTAGGGGCAGGGGCGTTGTAGGAGACGGGTGCGTTCAGAGAATCGCCAGACAGACCACCGAGGCCGCCCAGACTTGAGTCGCCACCAATGAGGCCACCACCGAGGGATCCACCGCCGAGAGATCCTCCTCCGAGGGATCCTCCTCCAAGTCCTCCAAGTCCACCTCCGATGCTGCCACCTCCTAGACCACCTCCGAGTCCTTGGAGTCCACCTCCAATGCTGCCACCGCCGATGCTGCCACCGCCGATGCTGCCACCGCCGATGCTGCCGCTGCCAGGAGCGAAAGACAGGCCGGAGTTGGAGTGTCCCACAGGCTGGTAGTTGTAGCCGAGCTTATCGGCGCAGGCGACTGCCACCAAACACAAGACCTGTTGCACAGAGATAAGAGAAGGGTTATCCATGGTCGGGAGTGGGGGCTATCCTGCAGATTTGGCGACTGTGGGACTTACGATGAATGCGCGCATCTTTCTGCTTCGTTTTTGGTTCTTTCAATTCGAGATATGAACTGCTTCTGTCTTTGGATGGGAGCGATCTTTATTATTTATACAAATCCATCTTCGAGGCTGATAAAGACAAAGATACCGCCGCCGCGGCGTCGTCGCTGCACGGAGATCGCTTTGATGCCACTGTGTTTTGCCGCCTACAAAGGTTTTTGCCTCTTTGGTTTTATGGTCGCAATGGAATTTTTGTTGCGTTCGGATGGGCAGCGGCGCTGGAATGGCGCTGCGATCGGGCTGCGGCAGCTGGTGGCTTTGGGTTATTCAAATATTCGAGTTTTTATTCAATAATTTTACAAGAATTAATATTAAATTATAAAATTAATATGTCGCGAGCACATCGGAATGAGTTCATCATGCAGATGGGTCATAATTATGTATTATATAAAATAAATATCTCCCTCAAATTCTTCGGCAAGGCTATCGAGTCGTCTTATGTAGGACATCTGCACTTGGTTTTTCCGATAGACCGACACCCGACAACCGACAATCGTTTAGTTATCATAATCGATGTCGACACATCTTTATGGTTTTGATGTATGGGCATGACACAAGCTCCATAATTAGGGGGTGCATCTAATGAGGTGTTTCAGACGCCGCCTCTCTGATTTATTTATTGAATCATCCAGCTATTTTTAGTACGAGATTTGCTTTAACTTTGAACGATAATGCTTTGGAATATTATGTTATTTTTTTTTGGATCATCGACCTCCAAGGACAACCGAAATCTAAAATATTGCAAGACGGAAGAACACAAATATACTCTTTTCCTGATTATTATTATACTCAAAAGCCATGAAGAGGAATTTATATAGCACATAGTCAATGGACATGAAACATGAACTCATTTTTTAATAGATTAAGCTTCCCATAGAAAGCAACAGAACATAGTTTTCAGTGTATATAAATCCCTAGAAATATATATTTTTGCTTTGTTGAAATCCCACCAAGACTTATTTTTGATTGATTATTTTTTAAGATAACTGTCGGCTATATTTTCCCAGATTGGTTTGGAGGCTGGAAATATGATTATTTTGCGATATCGGAAACAGTCAAGAAATCTTAAAAACACTACCATACTGACACCATCTGAAACAGAGCCACTCCTGCCATTTCTTCAAAAATGCATCTGTCAATACCAACTTCAAGATTCTTTTAAATTGTACTATAGCTTATGTAAATTAATAGAGATTGTGTATATTTCGATTTCGGTTTTATTTTATTTTATATTTATCAATAAGCTTCAACAATAATTCTTTAACAAAGACCAGAAATAGTTTCGATTGCTCGAAACCATTCAGGAATGCGCTTTTTAGAAGCGCAGGCGACGGAAGACCGAAGTTGGCAGGTAGGAGTTGTCGGGGCTCTGGGCAGTAGCCTGACGCACTGGACCAGCGGAGGCGAAGTTCAGGGCTGGGGCAACACCACCATCGGTGGCCGAGGAGGTGCCACCGAGCTGATCGTACTGCGACTGAATGGCGCGCTGGGCGTTGGCAGCGTCCTCGGGAGTGCGGTACTTGACGAAGTGCACCTCGGGCTTGTTGTTGTTGTTGCTGCGGATGGCATTCAGCTTGTTGGCCAGATCTCCGATATCGGCCTGCTTGTTCAGGACGTAGATGGCGGTCTCCTGCTGGGCAGCCTGCTTGGCCAGGGCCAGGGCAGCGTTCTCCAGACCACGGTTCTCGGGTCCCTTGATGAAGACGACGCGCAGTCCCTTGTTGACTGAGCCGGCAACGCGCTCCAAAGCCTGGGGCTCATCGAAGTCCTGTTCGTTGGCGCTGAAAGTGAAGAACTCCTTCTCGAGCTCGGCAGTAGGGGCAGGGGCGTTGTAGGAGACAGGTGCGTTCAGAGAGTCGCCAGACAGACCACCGAGGCCGCCCAGACCGGAGTCGCCACCAATGAGGCCACCACCGAGGGATCCACCGCCGAGAGATCCTCCTCCGAGGGATCCTCCTCCAAGTCCTCCAAGTCCACCTCCGATGCTGCCACCTCCGATGCTGCCACCTCCTAGACCACCTCCGAGTCCTTGGAGTCCACCACCGATGCTACCACCACCAATGCTGCCGCTGCCAGGAGCAAAGGAAAGTCCGGAGTTGGAGTGTCCGACGGGCTGGTAGTTGTAGCCCAGTTTGTCGGCGCAAGCGACTGCGATCAGGCACATAACCTATTGTACGAGTACGTGGGGGCGAGAGTAATCCATTAGTAGGGGCCGTTGCGCTGGAGCTGCAGCTGGAGCTGGCGCTGGCGCTGGTCCTGCCGGAAACTTACAATAAAGGCACGCATCTTGGATTCTGCTGCTTAGGTTCTCTTGGCTTGGAGCACGGTTGGCTTCTGACTGTCTCTGCGGTGGTGGTTATTATTTATACAAATCTGTCTTCGAGGCTGTCAGCGCAGCTTCTCGAAGACAAAGCGATGACGCCGCTAAATGTTTTTTCCGCCTACAAAGTAGGCAGCGCTCGGCCTTTGTGTGCGCTTGGGCCCAGCTCGGAGCAATTCAGCTTTGCATAAATGTTATTATAAGGAAAATCAATAAAAATAAAAAACATGAGCATAAAAATGCAATAACCGCACACAATGCGGCCAGCAATGCTGAACATGGAATGCGACCGCCATATTACAAAAGACATAGTCCCATCGACTGGAATTAGGGTTTACATCGTTTTTTTCGTCTTTATTCGTTTAAAAATTGGTACAACTGGGGAAAATATACAACAACAATCAGTGCGGGCGGATACCCTCCTTAACGGACGCGCAGGCGACGGAGGATGTTGGCGGGCAGGTACGAGTTGCTCACGGCTCCGGGCGGCGAGTAGTTGCCCCCGGACAGACGGGAGGGACCCGCTGGGGCCTGGGAGGCGAAGTTGATGGCGTTGGCAATGCCTCCGTTGATGGACTGAGAGGATCCACCGAGGTTGTCATACTGGCTCTGGATGGCGCGCTGGGCGTTGGCAGCGTCCTCGGGAGTGCGGTACTTGACGAAGTGCACCTCGGGCTTGTTGTTGGCATTCTGGCGGACGGCATTCAGCTTGTTGGCCAGATCTCCGATATCGGCCTGCTTGTTCAGGACATAGATGGCGGTCCTCTGCTCGGCAGCCTGCTTGGCCAGGGCCAGGGCAGCGTTCTCCAAGCCACGGTTCTCGGGTCCCTTGATGAAGACCACACGGAGACCCTTGTTCACGGAGCCAGCAATCTTCTGGTCGGCAAGAGGATCCTCGAACTCGTTCTCATCAGCCTCGAAGGTGTAGTATTCCTTGTTCAGCTCGCTTGAGGGCGCGTAGTCGTTCCTCTGGTTGCTGGGTGCGGCATCGTAGGAGCTGTCAGAGCCGCCGGAGTAGCTAGGAACATTTTCGGAGGCCGAGCCAGTGTACTGTCCCGCACCGTAGTTGTACTGGGCGCATGCGGCGCCAACCAGGCAGAGAGCGATGAGGAAACGCATTGTCGATGATAGGTAGATTGAGGTGTAGTGAACAGGCAAAGGCCAAGACTGAATCCTGAGGCTGCGGCGCGCACCTTTTATACGGAAGAACCGCAGCGGGATCGGCCTTAGAACAATAGCCGAAATCGCCGAAATGATTCCCGACGGGTTCGTCCATAACTCAACTAGTTTTTTATGCAAAGTGTTGCGCTTATGAAATGATTATGCAAAACTATCTAATTCCTATATAGAGCCGATGCCGATCCAGTCGGCGGACCCCGACTTTCTGCCCAAGTGCAGAGGCGCTTTAGAGGACCGGTTCCCGGCGCCGGGTTCTATTCTCGGCCGATCTGAAACAGATTGGAATTCGACTGGGAAAATGCTGCAAAACTATCGAACCCGTTTCGAAAAAGTAAGAGTCGGCAATAAATGTTCTCGCGGTCGTTAAAGTCGACAACAATGCGTTGCATTCTAGGAGTTCCGCCTACAAGTCAATAAAATTAACCTACAGATATGCTGATTCCATTGATAGTTTATGAATCTCTGTCTCACCATGAATCGAAAGTGAGTTAGAAATCGAACAAGTTTCTAGTTCTAGTTCGCGGGTGCAAAGTCAAGAAGAATGTTGTCGGAATAGCTTTTTGAACTCTTCGTTTGGCCACGTATGTGGCTGGAAACTAGTTTCAGATCGGCAGGGGAATTCCACACTAAATAGTCCTCTACATAAGTCCCATCAATAACACATTGCGTCAGTGGGAAACCGACCCCTGCTCATATGATCACTTCGGTCAGAATGGGACGAAAACTCAAATTACATCATTCAGGCATCATTCTGGCTGAGATTCGTCTCCAAAGCACAATGGTCTATTTATAAAGAAAACCAAATCAGAATTGACATCACCTTGTTAAAATTTTATGATAATATTTTATGCTTTCAATCTTATTAAGTCGTCTTAAATATGTAAAGAGAAATACAGTTTTTTCCGGGCTTCAAGTTTTATTAAGATTATTCAACTTTATGGCAAGAGGTTTTTTTAAAGCATACGTTTAGGAGTCAATTCCTTTTAGACACAAATGATCTTTCGTCCTTGGTTTGTGGCTGCGCACAAATAGACCGGAAAAAAAGAATAGAATTTAAAAGATTTTAGCCGAATACTATAATAGAATTTAAAACCAATATAACACAATTCGAAGGGTTATATTGTATACGAAATTCAAAAGGAACTTTGTTGGGTAAACACATTTCAGATGATTATCCTTAGGATTGGCTCTTTGTTCAGAAGAAAAATCAATTTGAAATTCGTATTAAATTTTCATTTATTTAAACAATAATCAACAAATCAACAATTTTTAGTTCAATCTTAGAAACGGAGACGGCGGAAAATGTTGGCAGGCAAGTAGCTAGCGCCTGGAGCGCTGGCAGAACCACCAATATTTTCATGAGCAGGCGCCGGCTGGGAGGCGAAGTTTAGGGAGGAAGCGACACCACCATCGGTGGACTGGGAGGATCCTCCAAGCTGATCGTACTGTCCTTGGATGGCGCGCTGGGCGTTGGCCGCATCCTCGGGAGTGCGGTACTTGACGAAGTGCACCTCGGGCTTGTTGTTGTTGTTGCTGCGGATGGAGTTCAGCTTGTTGGCCAGATCTCCGATGTCAGCCTGCTTGTTCAGGACATAGATGGCGGTCTCCTGCTGGGCAGCCTGCTTTGCCAGGGCCAGGGCAGCGTTCTCCAGACCCCGGTTCTCGGGTCCCTTGATGAAGACGACGCGCAGTGCCTTGTTCAGAGCGCTAGACACCTTCTCGGAGGCAGCGGGGTCGTTGAAATCACCCTCGTCGGCGGTGTAGGTGAAGAACTCCTTCTCCAGCTCAGCCTGGGGAGCGGCGTAGTTGGGGGAACCAGACGAAGAGGCTCCTACGGGACCGTCGATCGGTGCGGAGGGTCCAGCGGCAAAGCTGGGAGCATCGTTGCTGGCCAATCCCGATGGCTGAAAGCTGCTCAATCCGGATGGCTGGAAGCTGGGTCCCGCTTCAAAGCTGGGCGCCTCATTGCTGGCCAGTCCCGACGGCTGGAAGCTGAGTCCGGATGGGGAGTGAGCCACGGGCTGGTAGTTGTAGCCCAGTTTGTCGGCGCTGGCCAGGGCCACGAGGCAAAGGACGATGAAAGCACGCATTGTGATTGTGGAGTGCGATTTATGATTTGGTGGATTGGAGAGATGATTTGTAACTGCCTTAGTTCCGTGCACTCTGGGCTTTTATAAGTGCAAGATTCAGTTCTTCGATTTGGAAAAATTCGGCGAAATTAATGATCTGAAACAAGGGGCGACCACTGCATTATTAATATAAACTCATATGAATTATGAAGAGTCTAAATTTGCTTTGAAAATGCATAAATAATCTGCTTTTGTTTTATTTTATCTTTTGTTTTATTATATATATTTTTATGATTTGTCACGCTGCCGTTTGCTGTTGCGGCTGCAGATTTTTGCATAGCTCTGCGACTTTAAACCATGTTTTTTTTTTTAAGTTTCAATGCAAATTAGATGATGACCAGAACTAGCTGGACCAGAGAGCATCGGGTTGGGGATTGGATCATAGATCACAGATAACAGATAATAGACTGTGATTTCGATTCCGATTGCCAAGCCAGATGGCGCCAAGTAGTTTATTAATAGACCAATTATCAGACTGTTTTATTTGTCGCTGACAAGTCGCTGCAGTGCAGTTGTCAATTAGAGGTTAGGCAGAAAGAAGATGGCGGCTATATTTAGCAATGAAGTCGGAGCCGCACTTCCGGCGCGGACGAGCGACTGCGGAAGGTCGCCTCCACCCGCAACATTTGCATAAATCTCAGCATACAAATGGACAAAACACACAAAGCGAACAAAGCCGCTGAAAAAGGCAATAATAATTTCGCGAATCGTTAAAATATTTATTTTTGGCATCAACAACGCGACTAGGCGCGCCTCATTTGCATGTGAAACGGACTGCCAAACGTTTTGTTTGCTCGCGGACCAATTGTGGGCGACACTTCTCATCCCGGCCCGCCCCAGGGGGTGCGTTGCGGTGCGGTGCGGAGCGGGGCCGAGGCTCCTCCTACTCAAAGGTGAGTAAGAGGGAATGAAATTGACCCGAATCGGCTTTACGACTCAGCATACCTTTTTGTAGTTCCATTTTATTGATTTCAACGATAAGGCTATGTGAAGTTGCCAACTTTGGCAAGGTTGAGCCGCGAAAAAGAATAACGAAAATTATTGATTAAAGCAGCACATAAGCATATTGAATTTAATATGAGTTTTATGGCGACAGCCATAATACTACTCGTATACATGGACATCGCATCGCTTCTTCCTGCCAAGCCACGTAGCCGACCGACCCTCGCCGAGCGAAATAGCAGTGCAATCGAGTGGATCTCTTGCATATTTTAGCCGCCCGGGCTCCGGCGTATCGACCATAATTAGACCGCTTTATGCAAGAGCTTTTTGCATAAGAGTAAATGCCTCACATAACCATCTGCATAAAAGCCAAAGAACCACCTGCCACCAGCATCACACTCCTCCGCCAATCCGTCAGCTAAACATGCGTCAGTTCTGCCTCATCCTCTGCTTCTGCCTCGCCGCAGTGGCCAGTGCCGACAAACTGGGCTACAACTACCAGCCTGTGGCGCACTCACCCTCCGGACTCAGCTTCCAGCCATCCGGGCTGGCCAGCAATGAGGCACCCAGCTTTGCAGCGGGACCCAGCTTCCAGCCATCGGAATCGGGTAGCAATGATGCACCCAGCTTCCAGCCATCCGGATTGAGCAGCTTCCAGCCATCGGGATTGGCCAGCAACGATGCTCCCAGCTTTGCCGCTGGACCCTCCGCACCGATCGACGGTCCCGTAGGAGCCTCTTCGTCTGGTTCCCCCAACTACGCCGCTCCCCAGGCTGAGCTGGAGAAGGAGTTCTTCACCTACTCCGCCGACGAGGGTGATTTCAACGACCCCGCTGCCTCCGAGAAGGTGTCTAGCGCCCTGAACAAGGCACTGCGCGTCGTCTTCATCAAGGGACCCGAGAACCGGGGTCTGGAGAACGCTGCCCTGGCTCTGGCCAAGCAGGCTGCCCAGCAGGAGACCGCCATCTATGTCCTGAACAAGCAGGCTGACATCGGAGATCTGGCCAACAAGCTGAACTCCATCCGCAGCAACAACAACAACAAGCCCGAGGTGCACTTCGTCAAGTACCGCACTCCCGAGGATGCGGCCAACGCCCAGCGCGCCATCCAAGGACAGTACGATCAGCTTGGAGGATCCTCCCAGTCCACCGATGGTGGTGTTGCCCCAGCCCTGAACTTCGCCTCAAGTGCTCCTGCTCCAGTGGCCGCCCCCGCAGGCGCCGGCATCGCCCAGGGACCGTTCGTGCCCTCTGGCCTGCCCGAGGCCACTGCTCCAATCTCCTCCTATGTGCCCCCACCGACGCCTGGAAGCAGCTACCTGCCCGCTAACATTCTGCGCCGCCTGCGATTCTAAGATCCCAGTCCGCTGCCGACATTCCTTTGTTACTGTTTTTCTTATGATACGAAAATAAATTTCTTTGTTAAATCTAAATTGCCAAATAGTTTGCGGATCTACTCAACGAACATTCCTAGACATGGAAATGATACGTATTTGCGAGTTTCGGAATGTCAGTATTTTACGTATTCCGTGTTATAGTCTGTTTTGAACTCCGCTCCACTCCGCAGTCTTGGGCGGCGAGGCGCGCATTTCGTCTGGCAAACGGGTCCGACGGGCTGAATGCTGAATTATGAGTCCGCCGGCTAGGCTGTTTATGAAAATTGCAAATGAGCGGAAATATAACATGTTCTCTGCCGCAGCGTTTTGTATAATCCGGTGTATAACACACGGCTTATCGGGTATCTGTATCTGCCTGCTACTTGGGCCACCTCGTAGCTACGGATGGAGCCCACGCATTCGGCAAATTGAATCTGCCGCGTCGTTTGACAAATTGCATTAGACGGCAGACGACAGCTGACAATGGCCAAGTCCATGGTGGGAGCCAAGCAATTTAAAATTATTAAGCTGGGAAATTAGCCCAAAAGCATTGGTCAGAGCAGAGTCTTACTTTCAATCATCGCGCGGGGCATCATAGCGATTTGCATAACAAAATGAATGAACAAAGGGACCTGGCTACTGCACAGTCGAACAATTTGGAGCTGCTGCCGCCGCCCAGCCCTTTGTGGCTATCGTCGCTGCCTGAGCTACTGATTTGCATAAAGATTCGTTGGATTGTAAGCTGCAAGTTCATCAAATTTTAATCAACACCGTCGCCCCCAACGCCGCCACCGCCAACGACGCCACCGCAACTTCTGCCGATGCTGCCGCTGCTGCTGCTCGTATTGGTTGTTGTTGTGGCTTCTTGGGCTGCGACTAGGCCAAAATAGACAGAAACACCGCCAACAAGAAGAAAAGAAAAACAGGTTGGCCCAAACAATGCGGACCTTATCGTGATCTCTAGCATGATTGTCAAGCGCTTGTTCTGATTGACATCCATGTATATAAATGGCACACCGGCCACCTCCGACATCATTCTCAATCGAGAGCTCCAAGTAGAACATCAACAAAGATGCGCGCCTTCATCGTCCTGTGCCTCGTGGCCGTCGCCTGCGCCGACAAACTCGGCTACAACTACAAGCCCGTGGGCCACTCCAACTCCGGCCTGTCCTTTGCTCCTGGCAGCGGCAGCATTGGTGGTGGTAGCATCGGCGGCGGCAGCATCGGCGGTGGTAGCATCGGAGGAGGACTCCAAGGACTCGGAGGAAGCCTGGGAGGCCTAGGAGGTCTGGGAGGCGGCAGCAACTTCGGCAGCCTGGACAGCGGTCTGGGCGGTGGCTCCAGCGGCCTGTCCGGACTTGGTCTTGGATCCTCGGATCTGGGATCCTCTGGCTTTGGCAGCTCTGGTCTGGGATCTTCCGGTCTGGGATCTTCCGGTTTGGGATCCTCCGGTCTGGGATCTTCCGGTCTTGGTGGTGGCTTCAGTGGTCCCGTCAGCTACGAAGCTCCCGCTCCATCTGCTGAGCTCAACAAGGAATTCTTCACCTTCTCCGCCAACGAACAGGACTTCGATGAGCCCGAGGCTTTGGAACGCGTCTCCAGCTCTGTGAACAAGGGTCTGCGCGTCGTCTTCATCAAGGGACCCGAGAACCGTGGCTTGGAGAACGCTGCCCTGGCTCTGGCCAAGCAGGCTGCCCAGCAGGAGACCGCCATCTATGTCCTGAACAAGCAGGCCGATATCGGAGATCTGGCCAGCAAGCTGAATGCCATCCGCAGCAACTCGAACAACAAGCCCGAGGTGCACTTCGTCAAGTACCGCACTCCCGAGGATGCCGCCAACGCCCAGCGCGCCATCCAGAGCCAGTACGACCAGTTGGGTGGATCCTCTCAGGCCCATGATGGTGGTGTGGCCAACGCCCTGAACTTCGCCTCCGCGGGACCAGTGCGTCAGGCCCAGGCCCAGATCCCTGAGAACTCGTACCTGCCCTCGTCGGTGCTGCGTCGCCTGCGCTTCCGTTACTAGGAAGGCCATAACCAAAGCTCTTTTCGAGCTCTTCCATCTGCCATTTGTTAGCTCTTGTGTTATCTATTGATTTTTCGAACGCCTCAAATACAATTATACTTTTAACTGAAGCAATCAAGTGTTTTACTATTTAGTTGGGCGCTCTGAACAGTGAGTGGTGGAATGAAGTTCGTATGAAGTTGTCAGTGTCAAAAGTGAATGTCGATGGTGGACGCAGATTACTCACTCGGAGCGGATTTGATTGAAAAATTGCAGATTTCGGCGTTTATTACATGCCCTGAGTGGCAATAAAAATTCCGAAGCGACGGCGCCAAATGGAATACAAGTGGAAATCAATAAAAAAATTAACATTTTTTGTTTTCTTGAATGCAGGCGAAACAATCGACGAAATTTTTTTATCATAATTAAAATGTTAATCTGCGTGAAGTAAAAGGTTAGACAAACTATTAGCGCGTAAATTTATGGCAACTGCAAGACGGAACCAAGACCAAGACGGTACGGGCCTGGATCGGTTCGGATCTGATCGGATCGGGTAATACATAATGTATGAGTGATAACAGAGCGGCCGGATGAATGGCCAATAACAAACAGCCAAAGTGGACATCGGCAGCTCTGTTCAAGAGCACCCACTACGGCTGATTAGCATAAACCGAAAACAGAAACGTCACCAGAGTCTGTTAGAAAAATCATAAAAATTTATGCTCGTCGACAAATTATGCAAAAAAGCCAAGACAAGCGCGAAAAACACAGATAACGATGCCCAGAGCCAAGACCAAACCTGAGACTGAGACCAAACGATACGAGTAAAAATGCGAAAAAAACAAAAAAGTACAAATTAAAATTAAAAGTGGCCAAAAAGCGAATGGGAATTGGCAAGAGGCGATGCTCTGATGGCGCTGATGAAGGAGCGAATGGCCAGCGAATTACTGGCGACAAACATCTAACATCGACCTGCTCCAAATGAGGTGCAAAAATAAAAGACACCCAATTAAAATGCGGAATGCTAATTAGGAGAGCTGCAAACTGCAGTCCCCTTTTTGAGCTTTGGTTTCGCATAAAAGACGTGGGCGTCTGTGACATCAGCATACTCGAAGTTTACCCAGCAAACCGATCGGAGTTATCCACCTACACACAAGTCCCAAGATGCGCTTCCTAATTGTAAGTCCTCGTTTGGTCAGTACTCATTTAAAGACTACTATAATCTCCTTCTTCTGCTACTCCTTTAGGCCCTTTGCCTTGTGGCTGCTGCCAGCGCTGACTCGCTCGGCTACAACTATCAGCCATCCGCCTCCACTGGCTCATCGTCCTATGCTCCCTCTGCTGCCGGACCATCATATAGCCAAGCTGCTGCCCAACCCTCGTACACCCAATCCACTGGCGGACAATCCTACAGCCCCGCGGTGTCTGCAACCCAGGAACAGCCCACATTCAATGCCCCCTCTGAACCTTTCGTTAGCGCTCCCGAAGCTGCTCCCTCGGCTGACGCCCCCAACTATTCCGCTCCCCAGACCGAGCTGCAGAAGGAGTTCTTCACTTACACCGCCGATGAGAGTGCCTTCAACGAGCCAGCTGGATCCGAGCAGGTGTCCAGCTCCTTGAACAAGGCTCTGCGCGTGATCTTCATCAAGGGACCCGAGAACCGTGGCCTGGAGAATGCTGCCCTGGCCCTGGCCAAGCAGGCCGGCCAACAGGAGACCGCCATCTATGTCCTCAACAAGCAGGCTGACATCGGAGATCTGGCCAACAAGCTGAACTCCATCCGCAGCAACAACAACAACAAGCCCGAGGTGCACTTCGTCAAGTACCGCACTCCCGAGGACGCTGCCAATGCCCAGCAGGCCATCCAGGGACAGTACGATCAGCTTGGAGGATCTTCCTCCATCCAGAACGGCGGTGTTGCCCCAGTGCTAAACTTCGCCTCCCAGGCACCCGCTCGTCCAGTGGCCGCTCCCTCCTCGCCGGAGAACTCCTACCTGCCCGCGTCGGTGCTGCGTCGCCGCCTGTAAGAGCCGTACGACAGCCGACTGAACCGACTGACCCGACTGACCCTCACTGATTCCTACGCACTCGCTGCGATCCATCTCTCCTTCTCCACATGGAGACCATCTCTGTTGAATAGTTTGTATTGCGATTTTCGAGACGAGAAGTCCAAAATAAAATAAAAATAAAATATTGTTAATGCGAAATGTTGTAATCGTCTGGGAATAGCTGGCGAATTTCGTAGCGCGACATTGAACTATTTACCCTATAAGGCGGGACGACTCGGTTCCATCATTAGTCCCGATTTGGCGGGGCTGGGTAGACGACTTAAGATTATAAAACGCACCGGAGCTGGTTGATTGTCTGACAAATGCCTGTTGCTCTTCGCTGTGGTTATATCATGTTGGGAATCGTGGTAAGCGGAATGGATATTGTAGGTATTTCAAGATATTAATAAAGATATTTTAGTTTCTTGTATTTCTGGCCACCTGCTCGGCAGAGTTGGGGTACCAGTACCAGCAGAACAATGCACTCCTCAACAGTTATGGAGCTGCAGCTCAGGACTATGGAAGCGAAGGAGCCGCTGGAGATGGTGGTTATCCAACATTAGCTAATGAACACTACCACGACCACGCCGATTTCCACAAGCATTTTTATGCCTTCGAAGCGCCATACGACTCCACCGAGGAGGCGGACCTGGTGGAGACCAAATTGGCCTCTCTCGCGCAGAAGAACCTGCAGGTGGTGTTCATCAAGGCCCCGGAAAACAAGGCCGTGGTGGGGGCTCTTAACGCACTGGCCAAGCAGACCACCGAGGATAAGACTGCCATCTATGTGCTGAACAAGCAGACGGACTCGAACGAATTGGCAAGCCAACTGAGCGCCTTGAAGGCGCAGCACAAACACAAGCCCCAAGTTCATTTTGTCAAATACAGGACGGAAGCGGAGGCAGCCCAGGCACAGCTGCACATTCAGGAGCAGTACGGCGGAACGGGGTCCCCGCAGCCAGTACAGGCATCCTCATTGGGCTACTATCCGGAGCAGCAGCCGCAGCCGCAGCCGGACCAGGACCAGGGCTACTATCCAGAGCCCCAATTGCCGGCCTCACCACCACCACAGCCTGGTTACTTGCCACCATCTCCTCAGTCCAGCTACTTGCCGACACCTTCTCCTTCGACCAGTTACTTGCCGACACCTTTGCCTCAGACGAGCTACTTGCCACCAGTCCCCCAACCAAGCTACTTGCCACCAGCACCTCGTCCGCAAACGAATTACCTGCCACCAGCTCCTCAATCGAGTTACCTTCCCCCATCTCCTCCCCAAGCAGGATATCTGCCGTCCTTGCCCAACTATGCCTCCATTTCTCAGGGCTACAATGCGGCTGGAGCTGGATCTGGGGCAGCAGGCACTCTGGGGCAGATCGATTTGCCGCCTCTGCCTGAGCCGCAACAGGATCTTGGTGGCAGCTACGACGACTTGGATGAACGATCCGGGAAATCGCTTCGCACCGGTTTCCGAGCCAACGAGAGACGGCGCTCAGGCAGTCGCATGGTCTTTCCCACAGAACTATCCTCCTCCAATTACTATCGTTCCCAGCAAGTCTCCAAGCGCCGAAGACGCGCCCACCTCTAAACATTCCTCCGCTAATTAAGACATTAAAATAGTTCCATAAGACTGCCATGCCCCGTGTGTATCTAGTTGTAGCTGCAAATAAAACCCAAGATATCAATGAATTGCCTGCCACCAGTGCTTCTGCTTACGCTTCTGCTTCTTTGGTGAGATCTCAACGGGTCGGTGATCGGTCCGGGTCTAAGTTGTAAATTTGTTAAGCGGCTTATCAGATGCGAGTCCGAGCCTGGCCTAGGCGATGCGATGCTCGTTTGCTTATGACAAAAAGAAGACTCTGAAAAAACAAGCATCAAAATGACGTGTAAATTAACGAATCAGGTAGCCATAAAACGTCGACCATAAAAATATCTTCCAAGTGAAAGTAAAGCTGCGGAGGTGTAAGCCTCTCCGGAGAGCAGCTGCTGCTTCTGCTGCCGCTCCGCCGGGGGAGCAGTCACAACAAATGGCTTTGTCTATGACAAGCGACAACAATGGTGCCCCAATAGCATATGAAAATATTTTATAACTAATTCAAATTGGGAGCTCATTTGTAAATTTTATGCGAATTAAATTCAAGTTCACGCCGTGCCCGGGTCACGTATGGGCTGTAGCTGTTGGGCTCGTATTTGGCTTGGACTTGGCTTTTGTCTCGGGTGTCTTGCAAGCCCACAAATTTGCATTTCAAAATTGAACGACATTAACATGGATAATCGGAGCAGCAGACACACACAAAAACCAGAGCAGAGCCACAGCCAGCGTCAGAGCTGGCTGGCCAGAGCCAGTGTTTGCAAAAATCTTTTATAAGTTCATAAAAAGAAAAACGAATGCAAAAAATTAAATAAAACATAAAATCATAAAGAGAGCCGAGAGACGCTGCCGAGAAGTCAGCTTACTTTCGAACATCTCTTGTTGTTTGTGTCGTATATAAGGATGGTTTTGTTGCTGTGACTAAACTATAACCAAACAGAGCTTCGAACGGTGAAAATCAGCCGCGGCAGGCCGCCATCCATAGCACATTTCGAAGATCCTCTCAGCATGCGCACCCTGATGGTATGTAGGAATTGGTTGAAAGCAATGCTATCTGATATCCAGAAAATAACCGTGTCTTTCCACAGTCCATCTCGCTGCTCTTCAGCATTAGCCATGCCCTGAACAGCGCCTACCTCCCGGCCAACAGTGACTACGCCCCGAAGCGCCCTTTGGCCACGGAATACTTCACCTACGCAGCTCCACCGGATGAGGATCAGGCAGCGCCCTGGCAGGCAGCCCGCCAGTTGGCCAAGGCCCTGGTGCCGCCCCAGCAGGTCGTCTTCATCCGCACCCCAGAGACCAATGTCTTCACGCTGACGGCCAAGCAGCTGGCTTCCCAAAATCCACTGGATATTTATGTACTGCAGCGACAAGCGGACACCGCAGCCCTGGCTCAACAGCAAGCCGCCATCCAACAGCAGACGGAGCACAAGCCCTCGGTGCACTTTGTCAAGTACCGAACTCCCGCAGATGTCACCCGGGCTCTGGCCAGCCTGAGGAGCGGCTACGATCAGCTGCCCGGCAACAGTATTAGCCACGCCATCGAGACAGCCGACGTCTTCGAGGTGAAGCCCCAGCTGCCGCCTTTGAGTCAGCCTGTGATAACCCAGACTGTCCGACCACCTGTCCCCCAGACAATCCGCCAGCCGGAGCCTGTCATTTTCAAGATCCTGCCGAAAGGTGGCTCTGACTATGAAGTGCACGAGGAGGCCACAGAACTGGAGATGGCCCGGCTGCAGGCACTGTTCCGGGAATACCTGCCGCCAGGAAAGCACCGCTAGGTTGTTAGTAGAAAAGGGCCTCTGCCAAAGACTGTAAAAACTAAATTAAATTATAATTGTAATTAGTAAATAAAGACAAAGTTTTGTGGCGTTTGAATTACTACATTTCTGGGAAATTTCTCCCGTTGCTTTATGGAAATTATGCGGATAATTGTTTCGCGCCAAAAAACAACGCAACAACGCCCATAAATTACTCAATGTATTTCGAGGATTCGCTGTGCTGTCTTTGCATTACTTGGCAAACAAATTTAATTGAAATTTCAATCAAAAAACATTTAGTTGTAGCCAAGGCCGTGAAAGGATGGAAAGCTGGCCAAGACGGCGACGCGGCCGATGCTTATCTATGTATAGCTCTTATAGCTATTATGAATAATTAATTACACGGCACGGCACGGCCTCAGACCGTAACATTTTACTTTTGAGTTCTCCCAGAGCCCGGCCACACACACTTCGTGGATTACGAGTGTCTTCAAAGTATCTCTTAGATAATCATTAAGGTGTTGGTATCCAACTCCTCTTTGCTTCCAACCATGCAAATGTTTTCTTGAGCAAATGTCGCCGTTGCTGTTGCTGTTGCTTGTCGTTGGAAAACTTTTTAATGAGCTACACTTGGAGTTTTCCCGCAGCTCGCCCTCGCCCCTCCCCACATGAGCCCCAAACGATATCGCATCCGCTGCCCCAAACTTCTGTGTCGCCACGGACTTTACGACAGGCGCTGCTTTAAGAATGTTTCAACTAAATTACGACAAGATGCAGGAGGAACAGCAGGAAGTGGAATAGGGAAGTGGGGGTGAAGCAGGAGGACACAGAGGCTGACATCATTTCGCTTTGCAAATTGTTTTAGTGTCAAAGGTCAAACACACACTTCCACCTCCATTGCCATATGACACGGTGAAGTGCAGCCGTAAAAAAGGCGCCTTGCCACTGCAAATCTGTTGAGCAAGTTTTAGTTTAAGCATTTTCGACAAACATAGTGGACGGGGACGGTGACGGGAACGGGGGAGTAGGAGCGTCGCTCGTTAGCGGTGCCTGCCAAAAAGTTTGCCAGTCACGTCAAAGCTGCCGGTCTCACATTCTGTTTTAGAGGAGCTGAGGAGAATGAGGAGGAAACTCTTCTCTTCGTGTTGTATCCAGCAGGCTGGAGCAGGCTGCACGGAGCCAGAGCCATAGCCAAAGCGAGAACTGCTTTAATCCTGGCCAGAGGCAGCGGCTGCCAGGACGACTCATGACTGGCTGCAATTTCGGGACAGGTGTATCCAAGGTCCATGTCTTGGATCGGATTCACTCCAGCAGCAACAGCAGCAGCAGCTGCCAAGTTTGCGTGTTTTTCAATCTTTTCTCCGTTTTTGCGGAGCGCCATACCCATCCCATCCACAAATTAGGCGGATTTTGGCGCTGGTTTTGCTCTTGTTATTTTCACCCGAGGCGTCCAACTTTGCGAGGCAATCGCCTCTAGGAAGGGGCAGAGGGATAATAACCAGCATGAGTAGCTGAAAGTTTATAGATTCACTTTCCCCCGAATACGATATATTGGATATAGTGGAAGCTTGGGGAGCAGGGAACGCTGTATTCAAATCAATATTCAATCAACCAATCCCTGCTTATCAGAGTACATTACAAACTTTGGCTTTGACGTTGTCGGGTAGTCAGGGAATTATGCCAAAGCAAATGACTTGTCAGGGGAAATTGTAATTATGAATTTGAGAATTCATTCCCGTATCTCTTTGTATCTCTGTGTCTTCAGAACAGGCCTCGGCCCACGCAGCTGTTGATAAAAAATGTTAAATTCTTATTTTGCTCGGCCATCAAACGATGCCAAAAAGTTTAAATTAGTTAAAGAACTTCATTAACTGAACCGTCGAAAGAGATTGACGTCCGCGGCCAACAGCCAACAGCCAGCCGGCAGATAGCAGCCAGCAGCGAGCAGCGAGCAAGCACAGCGAAAAACCCAAGTTGTGGAAAATTATGAAAATTATAATTACCGGCTTAAGCCGGGTCGGCTGCCAAGTGCCTGGGCCTCGGCCTGGACCCAAAGACTCAAAGCCAAGAGCCAACAGCCAACTTCCAGATATTATCGGCAAAGCCAGTAGCTGTTTATTTTCCACGGCATTTCAACACAGTGGCAGCTGCTGTGTTGCTGTGATGCTCTCCCTCTGTGATGCTGCTGTGGAGCATCGACTGAGAGTCTGTTTTATGGCCTGTCGCAGCCAACACAAATCAATTAGATAATGTGGCAGTGGCAGTGGCAGCAGCAGCAGCAGCATTCGCAATCGCGATCGGTCCATGCATATTTATAGATGTCGCAGAGTGCATTTAAATCAAAAATAGGCAAGTCAGACGATCATGGATCAGGTCTAGGCCTAAGCCAGGGAAGACACATGCATATTTAAACGGTCGAGGCATTTTAATGACTATCGAATGGCATCGAAATCAACGGCAAGGTCACACCGAAACCAGGCGATCCCCTCATTTTGTGTTGTGGGAGGGGGATGAGTGTCAAACGTCCCAATGCATCGATTTCTCTCCCTCTCTCAATGTTTCGTTTGTGGCTATAAAAGCGAGACTTTGTTGAACTTTGAGCATTAGTTCCTCTTGTCACCTCCAAGACCAAGCCACCAGCCCAGCCACAATGCGCGTCTTCATTGTAAGTCAGCAATCCATTGATTGGGGAAAAGTATCACCTCTAACCACTCGCCATCTTCCCACAGCTTCTCTGCCTTTTTGCAGCCAGCTGCTGTGCCGATAAGCTGGGGTACAACTACCAGCCCGTGGCCCATGCAGATGAGGGCCTCTCCTTCCTCCCGGGCAGCGGACAGATACCCGTCGAGATCCAGCAGCAGCTGCAGCAGGTGCAGAGCGGAGAGGCAGTGCTCTCACAGCCCATCGAGGCCCCCATCATTCCCCAGGCTGTGCCTCTGGTCGAGGAGTTCCAGAAGGAGTTCTACAGCTACGCGGCGCCCGAGGAGCAGTTCGATGAGGGTGTAAACAACCAACAGATCGCCAGTTCGCTGAAGAAGAACTTGCGCGTCGTCTTCATCCGGACACCCGAAAACCAGGGCTTTGAGCGTGCCGCCCTGCAGTTGGCCAAGCAGTCAGCCCAACAGGAGACTGCCATCTACGTGCTGAGCAAACAGGCTGACGTTGCCAACCTGGCCAAGCAGCTGAATGCCCTTAAGGCGACTTCCAGCAACAAGCCCGAGGTGCACTTTGTCAAGTACCGCACTCCCGAGGATGCTGCCAACGCCCAGCTTGCCATCCAGAACCAGTACAACCAGCTGCCAGGCGTGTCCCGCATTTCCAATGAGGGTCGAGCTCCAGTGTTGAACTTTGCCTCGCCAGCGTCCCAGTCGGTCCCCGCCAGTGTATCGCGCTCTCCCAGCTCTGAGTACCTGCCCTCCAATGTGGTGGCTGGCCAGGATTATCTGCCACCTACTCTGCGTCGCTTCCGCGTCAAGTAAACACCGAATACGAATAGAGGTCAACCACGGTAACGTTTCCTAAACGACCACATCGAAAATTACCTCCCCCATCATATTGCAACAAATTAGCTTTTAAGTATCCATACGAGTGTCTAGGAATAAAATTTGTTAACTGACGAATATCCGATGTGAACTCCCTCTCTCTGCCCCCAACAGTCTGCAGCTGAACAACACATTCGGTGGCGCCTAATTGTTCGAATCTTTGTGGGGATGGCAAATTTCCACACAGTGGGGACGTGGACGGATGCGGACGGGGACACGGACCATTCTTCGCCCTTTTTCGTTCCTTTTATGTGTGATTTGTTTTGCGAGGCAAATCCCAGCCCACGGCAATGGAAACGAGTATGGTCATGGCGAGGGCGATGGCAATGGCAGTGGCTGTAGAATTGGCGTGCGGCTGTGTATTCGAGCGTTGTCCCTTCACATTAAATCCTTGAAATAATAGCCTGGATAAAGCGGCTGGCATGTCATAAAGTCCAGCAACAAGTTGAGCCACCCCCAACAGAAGGCTCTCATGGAAAACGAGCCCAGGCAATCATAGATTCCACCCTTCCCACCCTCCGGTCGCATATGCACAACGGCTTTATCCCATCCGCCATTTGTAATTGGAGTTATTAGAATCGAAATGAAGTGGTTGCACAATGGCCCGGTCTAGGCCCGGTTCTCATTCAACCCTTTTCGGGCTGGTCCGTTGGTTGGGTTGGGCGGCTATCGTTTTGAGGCCATTGCCAGTTATGGTCTGTGTAAGTGGCAACGTCCTGTTGCAGGTGGAATCTGGCTGCTGGCTGCTGGGTCTGCTGATTTGCTCTGTTCTGTTCTGCCAGCTGACACTCATCGGCTATGATTGTGTATCTCTGTGTGAGTGTAGATGAGTGTACATAAGAGCGTGGCGGTGAGTGGGTGTGTGCCTTGATGGCTTCCTGCTTCCGTGGAAAGCATGTGAAATGCCACCAAGTGCCCCAAACCCACGAACCCACAGACCCCATCAGGGCTACGGCTACCCATGAACTATGCAGAGGATTTGGTACGCTGTTGAGTGGAGTCCTTAAATTTCACTTAGATGTAACATAAGCCCGATATAAACGCAACCCAACGGTGCATGTATTCATGGCCATCATGGCAGCTGTTTGACTGTGTCGGTGACTGGGTGATATGAGTGTGTGTGTGCGCTAAGTGGAAGCCCCTGCAGGAATCGCACGCTTATCAGCAGTCGAGTGCAAACTGAATCCGTTGCTCTTTCTGTCGAGTACAGTAACGAATCGCTAAAGCGTAACGGCAACGACAATATGGCTTGTACAAGTGGGGGCTGGGGAATGGGGAATGGGGGAATGGCAATTTGGCCCACCATAAACGCTGTTAGCTTGTCTGCCATTTGCCGTCTGACTGCGCCCAGACTGCTGCCTGTAATTAAGGTGATATGCAGCAGTCAGCCGACCGAATCAACGCCGACGAGGCTGCCAAGTGCGTGTTCTATGCGTGTACTTGATGTGTGTGTGTGTGTGTGTCTGTCCTTCTGCGCCTGTATTTGTGTGTTAATGAGAAGCCTGCTGTGCGCGGAAAATAAATTATTAAAACGACATTCACTGCGCTCTCGACTGTCGCCAAGGCAAAGCTGAAGCTGACGCTGAAGCTCCTTTTGACACCCAGAGAGATATCAAACATATTTTCCGCAAAGTTGAAAAGCTTTGCCTGCACGGAAGAACACCCCACAAGGGTTTCACAAAGGTAGAATTAAAGAGTGCATATATATCACATTTTATGTTTCTTTTTTTTAGTAATATTACATAAGTCATATAGGGCACGTGTAAATTGGTTTCACTCAAACATAATAAATATGATTTACCGCATTCACCTGAAGTAAACATATTGACAGAGACCCCTGTGCCACCGCAAGTTAAGTGTATTAAAAAAGCGGTAATGACCAGTTTTTTGGTCCTAAACTGAAGTGGCCCAAGTTCACGGCCCACAAAGGAGTTGCACATACGCCACATTGCCAGAAGAAAGAAGTTGCGTATACGATCCGAAAACCTTCGAAAAAAAGTATAGCCTGCCTTTGGGCTGCGTTTTTTATCCAGAGCCCCGCTCAAGTGGGGTTTTTTCAGGGCTTCTTGCGCACAAACCCAAATCAAATCCATTTTTTTTTTGTACGCGGATAACCAAAAACCAAATACAAATCGCTGGTATTATGGAACTGTTTGCAAACAGGGGCACGGGTATTGTGCCACTTTCAATCACAACAGCCGACAGCTGCGGTGAGCCAACAACACAGCACCATGGCCGTGTGGCAGTGTGGCACAGAGGCAAATTGCAAGCAAACAATGCTCCCTATGCAGGCAGCAGGCAGCAGGCAACAAACATTTTTATTTCGATTTAATTCGCGAAGCAGAACTTTGCCGCTCTCCCTCTGCTGACAAGGTTCTTCTCATGCCACCCACCCTTGTCGGCTAACCAATATTTCTTTTCAATTTCTGAATGCGCTCGCGCTTTGCAGGAAAGTTTTGTTGTGCAACTAAATATTTTGACATTTGTCCGCATGCAGGCGGCAGCTTTGTAGGGTGGAAATAAGCGCAAATTGAAATGTGCTCGAGACAGTTTTTGCAGTCGCTATTGTTTTTGGCCCTGCTCTCAGCGAGTCTCCTTTTGGGGGCTACAAAGTTTCTGGAGTCGCTGTAGCTCGCTTTTGTTAATTCGGCAACCGCAGCCTCAACCTCACCCATACAGGTGGCAATGAGCTGTGGGCCCAAACCGAGGCTGGAGCCCAAACTAAAGCCCCAATCCTGGCCACATCCAAATGCATTTGCAGTTGGCAGTTGTACGCCATGTTGTCGCTGTCAAAAAGTTTTACTGCGCCTGTCACTGTGGTTGCCTGCCGCTTCGTTCGGGTTCTGAGAGGCATGGTTCGGATTTGTTGCAAAAAGTGTTTATTGGTGTTCCCCATGAGCGAGTACTCGAGCCGGGCCACTCTATGAAAATTGAGTTGTTTTTGGGCAACATCGTCTACGGAGTGCAGCCCTCGGGGCAATACTAGCACTCCGACTGCTTTCCGCATTTCGCCTTCCGCCTTCTGCCTTTTGGCATTTGGCATCTCAATGTGTGCATGCCAAACAGACGCTTGACTGACTGTCGAAACTTCTTGGCACACATGCTGGGAGTTTCGGCTCATTAACCGTGCCACTCTCCGCTGGCTGACTGCTGCATATTAATTAGGCGACTTTTAGGCGCTGCCATGTATAATTAAGCAACGAACCTCTTAACAAACCACATCCTGTTTGCGCTCTCCGTCTTCCTCTCCTGGCATGGCCATGGCTCATTAACAGTAAAAGCAAAGGCCAAAAGCACTAGCAGTAGCAGTAGCAGTAGTATCAGCAGCTGCCACTACCACTGCTGCTATGCGAAACTTCCTACATCTTGGCTATATCCACTGCTAATTTAATATTTATACCTTAATCAAGAGAGACACAGGACAGGGCAAGAGCCAGGGCCAGAGACAGCAGCAGAGAACCCTTTTGATGGGGCCACAGAAAATCTGTTGATTCGTCGATATCCAGATTGGTCTGGCCTAACGATGCCCAGGCGTTAATTGCTCATTTCCATGCAACGTTGTCGTTTGGCCCCTGCTTCCAGCCTGACTCTCGACTTGCTTGCCACACGAATTCGCAATCGATAGCGCGCATCTGTCACCAGACACACACCCATACACCCATACACCCGCTCACCCCCACACTGATGTCCTCTTGTCCACGACTTGTGAGTGTGTTTTGTGTGTCTGTGTACAGGGCTTTGATTCCGTAATGAGCCAACCAGGACCGTTGCACCTTTGTGGCGTTGGGGGCATACAAACGAGTCGCAGAGGGAGAGAGACATCACAGAAGAAGGAAAAAGAAAATACTCGACCATTGTGTCTTGGGCTTTGTTTGTGGCACCAGCCCCAGCCCCAGTCCCCGTCCCCGATTCTGATTCCGACTCTGGCGCTGTCTCTGGGGCGGATGTGTTTTACGGCCATGATACCCTTGATTCGCCATTTATTTCGTAGTTTATCCTTTTGTTGATTATTGCAGGACATTTACGCCCGCCCCTTTGGTAATTTTGCTGGGACTTCTGACCTTATGTGTCCTTACGTAGCCCGCCTTTGTTTACGCACTTACGCAGGACAGCAGTCCCGCCCCGGCTGCTGCTGTGGCTCCAACTCCGGATCCGGCTCCGGCTGCTTCAATTTCCCTGCACATTTAAAAGGATTAAAAGGATATTCGTCAAGCAGAAAGTTACGCAAGTTTGTTTAACGCACTTGTGTGGTCCCGCACCGCAAAATCCTGTCTCCACCCCAGGGAGGAGTAGAGCCCTACTCTACCCTCCACACTCAACCCGATTTTTGTGGCACTCTCTGCGGCTGCCACTTCGTTGCGTGTTATTCTACATTTGCCTTTTTTGTGTGTGCTTTCGGCTCTCTGTTTGCCGGGTCCGCTTAAAGGGTTTTGGTTGGGGGTCTGTCCATAAATGAAATGCCTTTGGCTTCTTGTTTTCAACATTTATTTTTTAGTTCGTTCTCTTTTTACCACAAATATTCGTACTCGTATTTCTGTATGTATATTTAATATGCTGTATATCTTTTCAGTGTAGTAGATTGGCCAAGCAGTAGGCGCCATAATTTGGGTTGAGTTGTAATTATATTTCTTGTTCTTGTTGTTCTTATGGTTTTTCGTATTTTTTACATTTAAATTTTACATTTAGTTTGTGCTCCACACAGCACAATCGCCTGCCCTCCTGCTCGGCAATGACTCGTATCTGTTAATGTTTAAGTGTTAGTATTAGTACAATTATACACACAAATATTACGCGGTTACGATCACGTATAATCTGCATGTTGCCTTTCACAACAATTACAATTGCAACTGTCGCCTGCTATTCGTAGTGGTACTGGTATGTCTGTATCTATAAATAAATATGTTCGTTATTTTAATCAATTTTAATTTGTCTTTTTTCCTCATTGGTTTTTTTTTTTTGTTTGTTTGTCAGTTATCCGCACTCGGAGTAGCCTCGAATTATGCTATTTATCTAGACCTTTTCTTACAGTAAAATATTTTATACAATACAAATAAGGTTAATTCAAATAAAGTCGTACAACACGAGTATTGAATATGTCCATGTGTATAATATGTGCATGGGAATATATAAATTTTCGACAAACAATGGAAATAAAAACGTTAAAGCTTTTTGTGGTGTAAGTGTTTAAAATTAATAAATTATGCCATCATTTATAAATGTGTATATGTATAATATATATATATATTTTTTTATACACCCTTTGTGAGGTTTTTCTCCTCTCTTTTTGTATACATACATATTTTAAATATATATTTTGTATAATTTCTTGCAGCTTGTTCAATATGCAATGATATGTGTGACTGGAAGATTTTGATGCGAGTGAAATTATGTGAGGCGCAGAACCCGAACGAAACGAGTTGCTCTCTTCGTCTGAGGATCTGTCATTATAATACTTTTGACTTATCAAAACACAACGTTTCCAAATTGAATGTGTGTTGGCTGTGTGTGTGTTTCAGTTATTTCCATCGCCTCCAAATTTATTCAATGTTCAGCTTGAACTACTTTCACTAGTAGTAGCTCCCAAAGGAGAGGCCTCAAGGAAAAACAATAATTAAATGAAAAATACCATATGTTATTGATGAAGTATGTCACTTGTCTCTCTCTTCGGTTACTGACACATGATATAGAGAAAATGTTACAACATTTATGATATGTTTTACGAATTGCTGCGACACTTAATGTACGTTAATTTGTTCTTTATAAATATCATCGTTTTTGTGTTACCTTTGCACTTGACACTTACATGAATGCTTTTTTTTACATAAATACACACTTATATGCTGGATAGAGAGTGCCTGCATGGGACACATACATTAATTAGCAGACACCTGGATGATTGACCCCTGGCCCATTACCAATTATGCATATTCATGCAGTTAGTATATGCTGAGACAACAGACTGAGACGACTGACTAGCGGACAACGCACAGTTTGCATATTTAACAGACAGATACATACACATATACACATGTAGAAAGAGAGAGTGCTGATTGGGGAGTGATAATGGGTACTGGGAGGTGCAAACTGTATATGTGTCGATGCGATGAGGTGCCGAGAGTTAAGATGTGTTTGCACTTGTTTATAGATTGGTGGGAAACATTTACGAGTGAGTCTCAAACCCATAACAAACTGGGAACCAGTTCCCTTGATAATCTTACACAAATCAAGCGAAATTATCCAGAATTGAATAGAGTCCTGATGATGGAAAATAGTTGATCATAGTAAGTGACATATTGAAACTTAAGAGAAACAACTTATCGTACGATCTTAAAGCATTATCATTTTTTGTGTATAAGTATTAATATTTAATCTTTCTTTTTTTTGGTTTTTCTTTCGGTTTTCATTGGTTTTTTCTTTCACATACAGTAAACTTTGTATGCATTCCTATTCATAATGTATAATTTATAAATGTAATTCATTTGTTCAGTTAATAATAGACAGCGTAGCATAGGAAGACGTCAATACCTGCATAAGACATTTTAGCCATATTTTTATATGTAATATGAACTTTGTTTTGTTTTGTTCTGTTTTGTTTCGGTTTTTGTTATTATTACTTTACTTGATGTTACCGTTACCGTCGTCATAACTATAGTATATTTTCATTTATAAAAAATTGTTGTAGTTCTTTCAAGCAATATCCGGTTGCTGCACTCCCTCCCTCGGCCGCCACCAATGGACGTGAAACTACTCGTAATCGTATTCGTATTCGTATTAGATCTACTTACTACAGTTCCGATCACTCTGAACAACCGTTTGGAAAGTGTTTTCAACTGGGAAAAGAGTTGTTTTCTCTATCTTTTTCTGCAATTGTTTTTGTTTAACTGGTAATTGTCAATCGGTTGGTTTAGCTGATTTCGCTTAGGAGAACTTCTGCAGGCTAAATTCTATACACTAATATTATTTTGGGTTTTTGTTGCGTTTCGCCGTCGTCGATTTGAAGTCAAAAATAGAAGCCTAATTACACACACAAAACAGATGCTCATGTATAGGTAGGGTATGTACTATGTATGTATATGTACGTACACGTATATATAATAGTATATAGGGATATATGATATACAGACTAGTCCGCTAATTGCTTTACATTTATTTACTTTGCCGTGTTGTTTGTTATGTTACCGTTTTTGCTACCGGTTGCTACCGTCTTGCTTTACATAGTTACATTGGTATGCTACTCGTATGTATGGATGTGTTTAATTTTGTCCTCTAGCAAATAGACACTTAAAGCGCGTTTGAAAAAGGGTTCTCCTAAATATACACACACGTAATGCATCCGTACTTGCTCTCAAGTACGGGCGCCTAGGATTCAACAAAAACGGAAACGAAAACGATTGCAAACACAATTAATCGCAATGGCAAATATTTTCCTAACTACTCTCTAAACGATCCATTGCAACGATAACCATTTGTACACACAGAACTAAACGAGAATAAAGCCCGAAATGAATATAAATAAATAAGCGTCGTAATGTGTTGCGGCGGGGCCTGGGTCTGGGTATGAATCTGTTTCGGTTTCTGCCCCGTGGAAACCCATTAACCCTGCCGGTCCAACCCATTCGGAGCTGACCCTTTTTGGAGGTCGACCACGCGCCGCAGACGCGCGCCCATTGCGACGCCATTTTCTTGTGTCTCGTTTTCCGTTTTCTTTGTTTCGTTTGTCTTTTTTTTTTTTGTTTTCTCAAAATGTTTTCAACACTGATTGTTTTTGTAAGCTTCTTGGTTTAACTGTCTAATTATTTTACATTTAAACGTTTAATTTTCTATGGGTTTCTCGGGGTAGTCGTATTTAGCGGAATGTGGCTGGCGCTTAAATTCAATTTGCCTTAATCTTAGCCTAACCCTCAGTGGCCACATCCACATGCACATCCTTGACTAGCCGGAGCTACAAGCTACAAACACCATAAAAAATAACTCTCATTTCGCTAAATTGTTAATGTGCCTCTGGGGGATGGGGATCTGTTCATCTGCTTGCTGTTGCATTTGGATGATGCGATGCATTTTAGGTACAAGCTTCGTAGCGACTGCTTGGAAACGCCTAAAAACTTGGCTTCAATCGTTTTTCGTTTTTCGTTTGCTTGGATGGTGGATTTCTCAGGGGGCGGCATTCGCACAAACTTCTGGCAAGGCCGGCGATGGAAAATCACTGGGTGGAATGCCACACCCACTGTGCACTGACCTTGACGAGCACAAAAACTTGATATTCTTAGTTGGATTAGCTGGCCGCCCGGTGGGTGCCGCTCTCCACAAAACTTATGTTCAATTAGCTATACAAAAATTTCTTTGCGCTACAAAAAATGCCCGTCGGCATCGGCTGCAATGGAATGGCTACCCACAGCCCGTGGTATCCGACTGCAACTTAATTACAAACATTTCTCTTTGGCATTGGTGGCCCACAAAAAAACGAGGGGGAAAAATCAACGCACGCGGCCCCTCGACCATTTCAAATTACGATATCCACAAGTAAACTATTTAAATTGGCTCTCAAGGAGAGCAGCACAAAAATGGTACAAATTCTCCTCCAAATCCACTCGCTCTTCGTCGTGTCCCCCGTCTTTGTTGTAATTTGTTTTTGTGCTGTGCTAATTTTCCTGCTCAATCGAGCTCATGCACATGGAAATAAATTAAAATTTTGTGTACAATTTATAAAACCCCAACTTAGTTCTGCTGCTGATGCTGCTGCTCCTGTCCTTGATGCTGATGATGATGATGTGGGTGTCCTTTGTTTTGGCGTAACTATGCCTTAGTATGTCGGTGGTCTGCTTCTCTCCAGCTGCTACTGCACATGCTGGGGCTCCTAGTAGCTCAGGGGTAGGGGCAGAAGCATGAGTAGCAGAATCTGCGCAAGAGACCACAGATGTGGCATTACGGACACAGACCCAGCCGAAGTCTCGTTCCCGTGTCCATTACCGTTGCCCAGTGCCGCCATACCGATGCTGGGCGCGGCCGTCGACGTGGAGGAGGCCAATTGTCGCTCAACCTCAACTGCAGAAATCCGGAAAAGAGAAGATAAATATAATATATATATATACTCGTATATATAGGGGTTTAGAATGTGATAAACAATGAGGGGATCAGGTGAAAAGAAATACCAATGTCCTTGCTAGCGAGCTGCTAGGAGCTGCCGGTCAAGGTTGGCAGGGAAAATTAATTGAACAGACTAAAAGCCATTACGGCAGCGGGAATGAGTATATCCGACTGACAGGATGATTGCCCAAGCCGTAAAAAAGGGGAAATCAATTTGGAATAGCAGCGCTCCACTTGTGGGCTGAATAATTTAAATCACGGAAAAGCCCTTGAAACTGACTAGCAGCAAACCACAGCAAAGGTCGCCGATTAGACGAATGGAATTGAATGGAATGGAAATAGTCAGCCGCTGAAAAGTTTTGGCATAAACAAGGCGACGGCGACCAGCAGCTAACTGATGGCAGCCCCTTAGGGCATCATAAGAAACAATTACAATGTGGAGGAGCATTCTCGGCTGCGAAGTGGCCCAAACAAATGACGCACTTCACGCAACATAAATAACACGCATACGCCCCTTGGTTCAAGTGACAGTTTGGCAGCCACTTCGGCACTTTTGGGCGGCAAAGAGGTCGAAAGACAATGGAGTCGCCTCCGGCTAGATGCCTGGGACCACGGCCAACGACCGTTGTGAGTCATGGACCTGGTAATGTGTAAATTATTTCCTACAATCCTGGACAATTTACAACAGTGCCCGAGTCGAGTCAACGACTCGTCTGGAAGCAAGTGTTAACAACCAGCTTGTAGGCAAACACTGTCGGCAAATATATATAAATTAACCTTTGTTTGTGCCCTGCCCTGTCTCTCTAGCGGTGGGGGTAACTCGAAATTAAACGTACATTCAGTGCACTTGGAGAAAATGTGAGTTTTTATGCACTTGGCTAAGAAGCTAAGGCAGTTTTCCAAAAATCTCCCATTATTCTCAGTGTAGACTTACGCAAGAGACATGACACCGCACCTCCCTTTGCGTAGCTTAAGAACCCGGCCAAAAGCAGCTCGGCAAACTCCAATGCAAATAAGGACAACATTTCAAATCTGCCAGAAAGACGGAAGACAACGTTGACTTTTGTGTATATATTTCTTGGCGGCTGCGGTAGACATCCTGACAGCCCGAGAAATAACAATAGGCATACCCCAAACGTACCCCTAACGAAACCCCAACACACATATATCCCATTATCATGCTAATTTATTTTGTGAAAATTCCATCCGTGATTCTCTTCTACATTTCATAATTTTCGTCGCGCGTGCCTCCCCCGAGTGAAAAGCGAGCATTTTTTGATGAGCTCACGGCTCGTCATTTTGCGGGACGAGAGTATGGCCCAACGCCCAAAGCAAATATTATGCCTGCATAGCATTACATTACAGAATAAATAAACCGAATGTGCACACAGACAGAGACGCACAATTCATGCGAATCACGCATACGCCACATTGCGCTGCGTTGCGTTGCGTTGCGCCACCACTCACCTTTGACGGAGTACGTTTTGTAGTCGGCATACTGTTCGCCCTGGCCGACAGTCGCCGGTATCGTCGACAGACAGGTTATCTCCATGCGCCCATTGCTGCCCACATGCTCGTCGGTGATTTCCAGGTTCAGTTGGCTGATGCTGAACATGCCCTTCTCCTGCTGGGCGGCGGTCACAGCCGCTGCGGCTGCTGCCACGCCACTACCGCCGCCTGGATGGGAGAGCGGACGCTGGTAGCCGGCCGCCAGCTGATTCATGGGACCCGAGTTCGGGGGTATGCCCAGCTCTTTGGCAATGTTGGGCGCCTGGGGGCCAAAGCCACCGCTGTTCAGGGTACTCCGGATGATGCCCAGGGCGTTCTCGTTGATGTGCCGCCGATACTTGCGGTTGCTGCTGTTCCTGCAATAAAAAAGGAGGGATTCGATTGAGTGTGGAGAGTTAGAGCCAGGTTTAATGGGCGTGGGTCTGGGGCAATTTGCACACAAATAAAATCGTAAATATTTGCATTTTATGATTGATGTATGGCAACGTGAAAAGCAAAATAAGAGACACATAAGAGAAGCCCACCACATTCCAGGCACGCACATCTGCCCAAAGGATCCCAGCCGAATGGAGATGCGAGCTGTCATAATTTCCAGCAGAGCCCCAAATAATTGATAATCGATCGAGTTTCATAAATACAAATCTTGTTCTCAAGTTCACAGACGTTCACTCCCTGGAAATGGCGAGCATTGTGTGCGGTTATTGATCGTTTGAAATAAACTTTTGCCGCTCAATGGGCGTGCTCTCTAATGATTCTGCTGCATTACTGGTTGATTAGCTTGCATTATTCAGGCGGCGGCAGCAGTTTCTGCTTGGCCCACGCACATTCTAACTCTAATTAGCTTTTACGACTTTGCTTCATATTTGATAAGAGGCCTGAACGGCATACAAATGAACCCGGTTCCGCTGGCTGTGGCAGGGAGAGGGCCTGATCTCCTTCCCTGTAATTACCTTGGGCTTCGCTGGGTTTAGGCCGCCACAGAGGCTGTGACGATGTGCGGCGTAGCGACATGTTGCTTTATTACAAATGCAAAATGACAGCGAAATTACCTGAGCAAACTCACAAACACCCACACACATCACAAACACACACCCACACCCACACACACACACACACACACACACATCACTCAAATGGGTGCCGAGCCCCGTGCGTGCCCAGACACTTGAGCAAATAATGTGGATACCATACCATACCATAAAGTTTAATGCATCGAATGTGCTGGCAAACCAATTGTCAGATGGGTTGGTTTACGGCCCGAACCCCACTTTACGGGCCATCAGCACACAGCATTAGATTTTGTGGCAAACTCGTTTTCGAATGCCATTTGCAAGGCGCTTACTTCCGTCTCATTTAAACAATTATTTCATTTGCATATCACTTCGGTCTGCTCTTCCTTTCGCTCTGGCGTTGTGTCTGCCTTTGACTCTGAGTCAGGCTCGCCTGCTTATGCAAATTGGAAAGTAAATGGCATAGAATTTTAGCAAAATTATATTTAAATATTACTTGGCTTAAAGTGCAGTAGCAGCAGGGGGAGTAAGACCAAGAGCAAGAGCGGAATGAACTAAGGCAACGGATGCCGCAAGGAGTCCTGGAGATAAAGCAAGGTGTCAGCAAAAAGTTGCTTTTGTGTGCGAGTGTTTGCTTCTCTTTCAATCTTTCGGCAATGTGTGTGTGTATGGTGTGTATGCTATGAGGGTGTGTGCGCTTCCTCTGTGCTGGGAGAGCACTTGGTAACCAGAGAGAAGATGGGCAAATGTCATGCAAATTGTGAGAGCATATGACGGCACATGGATGCGCTGCCAGCAAAATGGAGAATATCCCAATCGCATAATCATAAAGAGCACACAAAAATCGATTTCCATTATGCATTCTTTAAGGTTTTTTCAAATAAAATAGGATCTGAATTGCTGTTAAGAGTTCCCAGTGTGGCTTACAAGCCATGAATTCCTTGGCTTTCGTAAAGGGTATTCATTGCAAACTCTGGCACACAGCACGCACGAAACGCAAACAGCAGGAGTAGCAGCAGCAGCTTGGGAAAAACTTAAGCAACAGCAACAGTACGAGTACCAATAATAACGAAGAGATAGCCGGTAGCTTGGTAACTGGGAACGCAGTAACCAACCGACAGCTCGAGGCAACAGTAAGCCAGTTTAACTAGGGGAGCAAACAAATGCTGGGCAAAACTCAAAGCAAATGCACATCATCCGCATAAGCCTTCGACAGCTCTGGCTCCACGAAGACGACGACGAGGAGGAGGAGGACCTCGCCTTGCCAGCACGGGGCTGATGACAGCAGGATTCGAGACAGAGAGGCACCAGCTGCAGCCCCGGCATCATCAACGTAGAGCTCTTGTTACTGTTGATGTTGGTGCTGCTACTGTTGCTGCTGCTGTTGCTACAGTTGTCTTAATAAAATTCCTTATGCAGCGCACTTTTCGCAGGAAGAGCCAGCTAGCACCGGTAGCGACAACAAGGAACGCAAGCAAGCAACATGAAGGGGCAGGACGAGGCAAGAAACAACAGCATCAGCACCCGTGGCAGGAAGCTCAAGTTCAAAGCATAACAAACTTGCCAAGCAATTCAAATCAGACGGAAATGCGGCCCCCGGTGTACAGTATACAGTCGTGGAATATTCGTATACGAAAATGTGTTCCCAAGTTATGAAACTGCTGTCTGGCATGACACTTTAAATTCCACTCAACTAAGGAAAAGAAACTACCAAATGTCTTAACTCTCCACTGACATGCAAAACAGCCCTTGGGGCGCCCGGGCCCTGGGTGATAATTTGAGAAATAGGCTTAATTAATTGATAAGTCATGTAGTTTCTTTGGGGCAGCTGCTGGAGTGGTATTGGCATATTTATTTGTCTCTAGGCCACAGAAACCGTAGACTAATTTAGTTTGAAAACGCAAGCAAACCCCCGAAGGCAGAAAAACCTTTTAGCTATTTATGATGGACACGGCAGAGCGGGAAGAGCACGAAATAGTATTTCCAATACTGGAACAGAGGGGAAAGCATTCTGCTCTGGGCTCCATCGTTCCACTTAGCAGGAACAAGCAAAGCAACTTAGGTGGGCGCAAGGGCTGCGTGCAGGACCATGAATTTCTTACGAGTATACGGGTGTACACAAAAAGAGGTCTTGAAATCGGAAATCGGAAACCGGAACTTGGGCGAACCGCAACTTGGCAGCACCAACTCGAAACAACAGTAAAAACAGAACAGAAGCAGCAGGATCCTAACCAGACACCAGACACACAGATTACCAGTTCAACTTTTTGCTAGGTTAACTTAGTAAAAGCCCAAAACTGTTGGCCAAAATCAAAGCTTAACCCGGCGGGCAAGAACAGAACCCTGACTCCCCTCTCTGCTAAATTACATGGCACAACGCATGCAAATTTTCGCTGGCAAGTAGTTGCCGGGGGCCAGCTAATTTGTATTAACTATTCAGGGGTGTAAAATGTTTCGTCATCTGGAACGGGAACGGGAACCAGGCCAAAGTCGGATCGGATGCGCGCGCACAAAAGTATGCCATGAAATGGCTTTAAAACTGGGTTAGAAGCGACGCGTCGCATAGCGTGGCACAAACACCGACACAGCCGCAACAAAGAAACTACCGCCACTGACAACGGCAACGCGTGTGAAATTATAACTGACAGCGAAGCTCCTTTTGTCGTCTCTGACTCGCTGTGGCATGCGGCCCATTGAATAATTTATGCACTATAAAGTGCCACAGCCCCTGGCCATGCCTCTACGCTACGTTACGATACGTTTCCTGCCATGGCAGGTACGAGGACTTGTACAAGTCAAAAAATGCCAGAGAGAACGAGAGACAGGAGACTCGACGCGATGGTATGTTTGGTATTGTGATGTAAATGCATTTAAAACGGACGTTTTTCGCGTGCGAGCGTCAGTGCTGTTTGCGTGTTGCCCTTGGCAAACCTCATTTAGATGGCCATAGAAGTGTATTAATTGCATGCGTGTCACTCCGACCACTCGCAGATGAGGCATGCAGCTAATTAGAGGTAGACTGTGAGGTCAAACCGAATGGAAAATGCTGTTCATTATTGGAGAATTCCATCGTTTAACACAACCAATTAGGAGCAACAATTCGATAAATTAAGTTTAAATACAATTATAGCAAAATATTTTGGTATTCATACACTCACTCTCCGGTATGTATTCTCTTTGCACATGTTGCACGCGACATGCAGACATTGATGTTGTACCGCCGCAGGGTCCTGAGCCGGGTAATTGCCGTAATTGGCCATTTATCGTCAATCACAGAGAGTTGCATGTTCATGTTTGACTTGAAAAATGCATATTTCCGTAATTAACTTGATTGCATTTCTATTGGCAGCGCTTCCAGGCTTTCAGGCTTCTTGGCAACAGACAGAAATGTGTCAGAGATTAAGTTCACTGCCGCAAAAGAGTACAGCGCTTATCTTAACAGTTTGAGGTGAACTGGAGCTACTGCTTTATTTTACATGACATGACATTTCACACCAGTGGCGCCACTACTGATATCAGCGGCACCTACGTGATCTGTTGCACTCATTCAAAAGCTCGTTGATATTTTTACATCTAATTTATGCATCGAATCGCCCAATTTTAAGTGGAAAGAATCGTCTAAAGACGCAGATACTCGTGTCCAAATTCAAAAAAGTACAAAAGTAATAATAAAAAAAAAACAAAGTACAGAAGGTAACGTCCCCAGCGGGTTATAGCTCATCAACTCCATCACTTATCGCTTTTTTTTGTCAAAATAATATTTATAACTTATTTTCTCACTTGAACACATCCAATTGTGAAATCAATGGAATAAATCAGTCATATCTCAAATGCCACCATAAATGTTATCATAAATGCTTCAATCATATGCAAACAACAAGCCGAACAACAAAAAAACGAAACCCTAAACTATAAATGCCGCAAGCGACGCCAGCTAATTTGCATAAATAGGTCTTTTTGTGGCCACATGTAGTATCTGTTGCTTTTACGAAATACATTCGAACACCCATAGATTTTGTACAGTGGACAGCTAGTCGGGTCGCGTTCGATGGGACCATGATTTGTGATCCGCTGCAGCCAGTTTCCACTGCTTTCGAGCTGCCAATTGCCAGAGCGACATATCGGTTGGCATTAATTAATTTTGAGTTTTGCAAATCATTCCCAGAATTATATCTGGTTGGGCGGATGGGTGGATGGGCTCCGATGGCTGTGCTGTTGACATTGTAATTGATTTATTTTTTATTGTTTGTAGTCGGGTTTTTGTGCTGTCTCCTCTTGGCTGTAATGTTAGTAATTCATTTATTACGTATCCACAAAACTGCCAGCTATGCAAATTATTTGGCATTGCTCCATTTGAACGGTGATAAGCTTGGCCTATCGATGTCCAGCCGCAGCCGCAGCACCAGCTCCAGTTCCACTTTGCATTTGCATTTCATTCAGAGAAATTGGCAATACGCTTTGAATTTATGCAAAACTAATTCGCTGGCGGATACAGTTGGTCCGTTTTACGTTTTGCGTCACTTGCAACGGCTCGCGGTTAGCGGATGAGGCGGATAATCGAACCAAGACAACGGCAATAGCTACAGCCGCATCGCATCTCTTCTTAACCACGCTTTGGGACGGGCTATAAAAACGCCCATTGGATGGAGGGGCCACAACATTACCCGTTCACAACTCGAGGCGTGCCCACCAACGCGTTGACAGCTTTAGCAGCCTCCAGGGAAAAAGAGTTCAGCAAAGACCGCAGAAGATGCGTGGATTAATCGTAAGTGAAATTGAGTTGGGTCGCTGCAAGCATTTGGATTATACATTGGATTGGATTTCCTTAGCAGGTTCTGACCTTCTTGACAGCAGCAGCAGCAGCAGTGCTTGCCGATGTAGGTGGCTACAACTACGGAGCCGGCCTGAGTGGCTCGTCTGGCGGCTCTAATGGAGGTTCTAACTCTGGTGGATCTCTGTCTAGCGGCTCAATCTCTGGCGGTTCATACTCTGGCGGCTCCAGTGGCTCCCTTTCTGGGGGTTCTATTTCCGGCGCTACTCTGTCTGGCGGATCGCTTGGCTCTTCCGTGGGCTACTCCAATGACTATGCCCCCGTCAACACCGATTTTAACAAGGAGTTCTTCACCTACAGCGCCCCAGAGGCCGACTTCGAGGACAACAAAAGCGTTAGTGACCTGGCCGCTTCGCTGAAGAAGAACCTGCGCGTGGTCTTCATCCGTGCCCCCGAGAACAAGGGCCTGGAGAACGCCGCCCTGGCTCTGGCCAAGCAGGCTGCAGAGCAGCAGACCGCCATCTACGTGCTGACCAAGCAGGGTGACCTCTCCAGCCTAGCCAACCAGCTGCAGAACCTGAACCATGTGAGTGCCAGCAAGCCCGAGGTGCACTTTGTCAAGTACCGCACGCCGGAGGACGCTCTGAATGCCCAGCGTACCATCCAGCAGGAGTATGAGCGCCTGGGTGGCTCCTCTGCCTCTCACAATGGAGGAGTTGCTCCAGTCCTGGACTTCACCTCCAAGCGCCAGCAACAGTTCCAACAGCAACAGCAACAGCAACAGCAAGTGCAGCTGGTGGATGAGCGTCGGGCCTCCAACATCAATGTGGCGTCGACTGGCAGTGTGTCGAACATTGGCGTTGAGCTGGAGGCCCCCTCCACTTCCTACATCCCACCCACGGCCCAGGCCGCCCCTGTGGCCACTTACTTGCCTGTGAACAAGGTCAAATAGTTGGTCGAAGTCTAGCCTTATTAACAAATTAACCAAATTGTGGAGTACCCTCCTTCAACCTCATTCGTTATAAAATAGAAATTTAATTTTAATGTGCGCGCTTGCTGTTCTTGTTCTTGTTCTCGTTGAGATTAATGGGGCACGCCATTTCGACGTCTTGTAGTCGCTATCGACGAGGCACTTACCTAGACATTCTGGTCCGTCTCCGTCTCCACCCACAGCTTGCAATTAAAACTAAAAGCGCATTGGCATTGGACGTTGGCGTTTAAAAGTTTCCGTAAATTTAAGTGACCGACCGGTCCCTTATCCGAGTGGCCCAGTGTCGGAGTCGGAGTCCGAGTCCTGGCCTTGTCCAGTTCTTTGTCCCCTGGAACCCTAGAACCGGCTCCGGCATTACTGCCGCGGTTTATGGCACGTCAACGTTGGCCACCGTTGACCCGCCTTAAAGGATTACCGCCACACACGCGATCAGGGCCAGCAAAGCAGCTAATTACCGCCGCAGCCACAGCTACACGGCCAGCCAATTTCTGGCGCTTCAAATACACCAGTCGCGACATTTAATGGCCGCCCTTTTGAGGGTCAAGTCAGTGGCAATTTGGTCTTGGCGAAGGGAAAGGAAAGGAGAGGAGAATTAAGGAAAGCCACACTGAAAATTAAATGAAAATTGCCAGCTGCATTTTAGAGGCGCTCAGCTCTGCCTTTGTTTGTGCTTGGGAATTTCTTCGGGCAGAGGAAGCCTGAGAATTGTTCGCAAAAGTGCAGAAGTCCTTCGCCGAAACAGTTGCTGTTTAAGTACTTCCTCAGACATCTCTCAAAATAATTTAGAAATTTACTTTTAATAGGAATTTCATTATGAACCAAGTGCAATCTACGTGTGGAACTACTCCACTACTCCCCTAGTCCATGGGGACTGCATAGCCTCCCTTTAAACTGACATTGAGGGAGCAGGAGAAACATTCCACAGCACCGATTAAGGAGGTGTTTCCTGTGGCCGAGTTAGGTTGCCGTTTGCTGGCTTTTTGGATTGCTTTTCGGATCCCGTGTGTGTTGGCCACCTGTTCGGGGAACTTACGGCACAAAAGAAGCAAGCAAAGGGCAGCCAAACGGCCGGAATAAAAGGCAGTAGGCAGCCAAGTTGCAGCTAGACACCGACACTTCCACAGAAGCAGAAGCAGATACAGACCTTCAGACCTGCACAGCGCTTAGGTTGAGTTGTACTCCGGCTGGCCTGTACAGCTGAGCCTGCCACAAAGGCCTTACGTGTTGCACAAACATAAATTGTGCAACAACGTGTAAACTACTTTTTGACTGCATGAAACGCGCCATTCCCATCCCCATGTCCTTGCCCAGGCCAGACCTGCCTTGGTATCCTACGAGTATTCCTGCTTCTGCTGCTGCTGCTGCTCGTTGTTCCCTCGGCAAGTGTTCATTCAAAGCTACGTGTTATACCTTTTATAGCCATGGAAGGAACGTCTGCTGCTGTTGCTTTTGTTGCCTCATGGCTGTAGCTCTTCTTTTGTTTTTTGTGCTTTTCATGTTGCATTCTTAAAGTCATTTCAAGCTGCTCTAGAGAAAGGAGGAGAGCAGCCAACCATAACGAATTGTTGTACGAGTATTCAGCTTCATAATACGGCAATGAGAGTATGAAAGCATTTTGATGTTCTGGCTTTTGAGTGGCACTCGACGAAGCCGGTTTGTCGGCCCCCCAGTCACTAATCACGTTAAGCGGTTAATTACTTTGGATGGCTTATATCGCACACTCCCATACACTCCCACCCAACCAATCTCCTACACACACCCCCACATGGCGTATACTCAATATTTTATGCTGTTGCCCATTGCAGGCCATAAATCTTGCAAGGCCGGTAGGCGGCAGAACAGTTCAGTGCCTGACCCAAGGCATGGCTCTTGTCTGGCGGTGGGTATGACATTAGCATTGCATTTGCATAAAATAACATGAATATTTTCGCCATGCTCCATAGTACGCCCACAACACCAGTCAGGCGCACAGCGCGAGGCGACACCCACACACTTTCGAGGGGCGCATAAGGCATAAACTTAATAAAGAGCGCAGTTTATTCCTGGACGGCCGAGCAGCCCAAGCCGTGCACCCACACTCTACCCCATGAATAAGCACACACATGCAATGGAATTTATGCACATTGGCATTGGCATGCACATAAACGCTGCCTGTTACTGCCTGCCACAGCCGCCACCCCTTTTGTTTCTGCTATTCGTCCTTGTAATTGTTGCTGTTGCTATATTTGTTGTACCTTTCATAGGGTATAATCATTTTGAGCAGGTGTTCGCAATGCAGGAAGCATTTTCGACCCAAACAGCATATGATCTTGTTCCACCTGGAAGGAATAACTATGTCCGTCAGTCAGTATAGGAGCTGAAGCCACCAAGATCGGAACACTCTAATATATAGAGTATATATCATAAAACTTCAACTTCAACTTGAAATATTGGCTGTATCAGGGTATCTGAACCTTCGACGCCCAAATGATACTTTTGTTCCTTGTTTTTGTAGGATGTTGTTATTGCATGTGCACTTTATGTGTATCCATTTTTTCCGAGTTTACACCAGACTGCTGCATTAATATGCAACGCTTATCACATGCTTTTATGGCACAAAGGTTTCCCAGTTTCCAGTTAAGGGCGAGTGTGAAATCACGCCCACATAAACCTATAACCGAAGCCGTCTACAGGTGTCTGTCTGGCTGGTTTCCCAGCCAGCGAAAAGTTAACGATTCAATCTAATTTATTGCACAAGCCTCTAATCCTTCCTTCCAGTGTAGTACACATCTTCTGCGATATTCTGGCTTATGTATATTCCCTCTGTGCTTTGCATATAATTTATTTCATATTGCCATTTGGTTTTAGCGAAATTAGTTCTCCAGACCCCGTCGTATACCCCGCTCTGAGTTGCGGGGAAATTATTTATAAAATAGTTTCGCGTTTGGCTCGTGCACTCGGAGCTGGCTCTGGCACTCTGCCTCCCTTTCTGCTTACGGCAAATGCAATTAGCGTTCGCTGATTACCAGGCAAGGAAATGGCACGAGTGTAAATTATGGTTTTTAGTTTATGGCAAATTAACCAAGTGGGTTTATTTCATGCTCCCACACACATGCGGAGCTCAAACTTTTTACGGCCATAAATTGGGAATTCTATGCCGGAGGCGGAATACGAAACTTTTTAGCTTATTCAAATGCAAAGCCAAAGCAGGCAATAAGCTTTGGGCAGTCCTTAAATGGCAAATTCATTAACCAATTACCAGGGGCCTTGACATTTAGAGTGTCCATCATCACTCAGGGAATAGTGGACCGACCGGTGGCCTGAATTGTCCCAAAGAGCGAAAGTTGGTTGCAATATTAGTATTTTTAGGAACCTCACACACCATCTGCCATCCCTCCCCCGAAAGTGTGCTACGTGCCACGTGGCGTATGTGTAATATCAGGCACGACCAGGCAACTTCAAAGAAGCAGCTACTTCGTGGAAACTCGCAGCGACTTGTGGCTTTCATTAAACTGAGACCACACCCACATCCACTCCATACGACACCTTCACCTTCACCTTCTCGCCAACCCCCCCCTCGCATACACACTTGCAACGAAAAGTTGTTATATTGGAAAAGTTTCTGTGCTTGATTTTTAATATCACAGGTGAACGTAAATAATTTATTGCGTTCATTTACGTTTCACATCCAATCGCCACCCACGTGAAGATTTCGAATACCCAGCGCCATGGCAGCCTGGGAGGGGGGAAACAGCGGAAACAGGGGAGCCGTGCCACAGAATTTATTTATGCGTTATACAACAAAAAGGCAAAAAAAGACGAAGAAGTCAGGCAACGGCAAGCCACCACAAGCTCCAACAAGCCCCAAACAATGTGCCAACAGCCGTTGGCCTTAGCAGCGCCAAAGCAAAATCCTTTCAGACCATAGATAAGAAAACTTTAATAAACACGCCACACACGCAACCTGGGAAATTGATAAGAATATGAAAAGTTTGCGCTGGGCACTGAGCAGCTTGTCTAGCAACCCCCTGCCGCCAGAATCCTAGCAGAGGGAAACTTTTCACATTCCTTCCTAGTCATAGTCCCAGTCCTTCCAGGAGCTGTGGAACGGCGGCTAAGCTTGGCTTGTGGCTCGCGAAAGTTGCAGCTTTTTAATTTGTATAGCTCATAAATATGGTTCAGAGAGCGGTCTCCGGTCTCCGTAATGGCGTTAAGGGTCAGGTTTCGTGATTAATGGGCCTGGGCCGCCATCAACACTCACCTGTGCTTCTTCAGCTCCATCTGCTGTTGCTTCTTCAGCTCGAGCTTCTTCTTGTTGATGTCATAGTTGCGCTGATGTATCTCATGGAACTCGCCCACGTCATGGTAGTTAGCCAGCGAGCCAAACGGATTGTTGTATATACTGCTTCCGCCGCCAGCGCCGCCGCCATGATGGTGGCCCTCGTGATGGTGTGCGGCAAAATGCGGAAATTCATCTGCAAACAAAAATAGTAAAGAGCAAAGAGCAGGACATCAGCGATCAAACAATCTAATTAACGTAAATGCTGCAGCAGTTTTTGGTTTCTGATGACTCCTCTGTCCATGTTCCATTCTCCACAATTTGGAGCTCAAATAACGACACACAGAAATGTCGCATCAGCGGCGCAGCAAAAAAGTGATTACCATTGTCGGACCCACTCCCACGGTCAAGGACCCCTCACCCTCTCCTAGTCGTACTCACCCGCACGGGCGCCGGCCGGCCAACGAAGGCTCTTGTCATAGCGGTCCATGAATTGGCCCACTGGGATGTGGTACTGCTGGTGGTACTGGTTGTAGTACTGCTGCTGATAGTACTGCTGCTGCAGCTGCTGCTGACTCAGCTGCGTCTGCTGCTGCTGCTGCGTGCGGCGCTGGTGCTTGCCGTTGAACGAGAACACATGATGAGTGCGCACGTACTTCTCCTCCACCTGCCGAAAGACAAACACAAAAACACACAAAAACGGGGGTTGAAATTCAGTGTTGGTGGGTGGGGCTTGCGGGCATGATAAGGGTACTCGGTTCATTGTAATTGCTACAATACGCTTTGCACAAAAGTCACTTCAATGTCAAACCTCTCCCCTCTCCACGACCCCATTCTCTGGCGTACAGCTTAAATTAAATATGGATCATGGCACAGCGGGTCAGTTCCACATCTGCTCTCCACTCCAGGACACCCATACGCCCATACACTGGTGCATTTTTTCGGGCGGTAGGGGTGGTGGGGGTAAGTGGGGTTCAGTGTGGCCCAGGGGCGCGTTTATGAATAAATTTCATTTTAGAGTTCTCCCATATTCCATCCGCCACTGGCAGACATAATAAATTTATTTAAATTTCATTTCCTTTTCTCGCTCGCTAGCTGTATATTTTTTTTTTTTCCTGGGAGGACAGCAACATCTGGCTCTGGCTTTTCGTAATTAAAATGAAAGCTGCCCTGACCGCTCGTGTAGGCCATAATTATAAAATGGCTTAAACTGATGTTAATCTCCATGCACTGCTCCCATGGATACGGGCTCTGCAACACTGCCACTGAAACAGACACTGGCTCTGCCACTTCCCCTGACAGTCATTTTGAGTGCATTATCCCACTGATTAACCAGAAGGCTATTCAAGGCCCCGACACATGTGATACTCGCTAATAATCCATTGCAAATTGACTTTGTTTAAAGGGCAAACAAGCGAGTAACATTCACGCAATCCAATTGTGGTGGATCCCTCCCGTCCTATCCCTCCATGCCATACGGTTTCAAATATCACGCATACGCACCTTTTTCCCATTGATTAGCCACGTGATGTGCGGGGCAGGCCGTCCGCGAGTGGTGTTGCACAGTGCAAAAAGTTTCTCGCCAACCGCAAAGGGCGTGCGTTTGCGGAACTTAATTGTGGGCGGACCCGTCTGGGGCACTGCATGACAGATAGATGGATAAATAGATAGATAGATGGAGATGGATGGGAAAGGAGACAATAATTAGAGTGGGCCTCTTGTAAATGGTGGCGATAATTGTTACGCACAGAACACGCTCATCAGCTCGTCGGCGCTGGCCTTGGTGAAGATGGGTGTATCCGTGGAGACTTCGCAGTAGAACTGCCCGGAGAGATCAAACTGCACATCCCTGAGGGTCACCTGCTGCTCGTTGGAGTTGTCCCACTGTAAGTGAGAAATGAAATAGAGAAAAGGAGCGGATTAAAGAGACAGACCAGACACAAAAAGTTCATTAGCAAATCAATTGATTCTTCCACAAGGTGGGTCTCGTAGATGTATGGTAAATGTCTACCAATTAGCTGCGATTTACTAGACCATTCTTCAATGCTTAATTCGATTACAATTATCGAAGTCTGAGTGCGGAATGCGGAGTGCGGAGTGGCAGCGTTAATGATGATTGAGTAAATAAGTGGGCACGGCCCAGAGAGCACTTTGGATGCCACCAAACCTTGTACTTACGTCAATTTCAGCCCCTTCGATGGTGGAGTTACGGAATGGCGGGTTCCGTCCATTTATAAACTCGAAGAACTTGCCCTTGTCAACCTTCAGCCATGTCACCTGCAAAGCACAATACATTTTGCGTAATATTAAAATATATCCGAAAAACTGTTGCGAATGATGGCTCCCAGCAATACCAGGAAATCCCAAACACGGCCCAGATTCAAGTCAATCCATGGCTGTTTCTGACAGTGATTGAATGTGTCATATTTGATGGCATGGCAGCAGCCGCTGTCCTCTGTCCAGGACCCCGACTCCCTGCTTCGGGGCTCTGTTAATATTGCCAAAGTAAATTATTAAACTGTTTAAATTGCACAACTCGAATGCCAGAGAGCTTTCCCCTTCATCTCCGACTCTGTCTCCCCTGGCGATGCAATTTAACTTTGCAACAAGTTGCAACAAACAGAACGACGCTGGGCGAATTGTTTGCGCGTTAAACTGTAAAACTGTAAATAATAAAATGTTTTTATTGGAATGGCAATGGCAATGTCAGAATGGCGGAATGAAGGGGGACTTTGCGCATGTCACCCCTGCAATTAAAAGCAAAATCTACTCGTACTCGTACAAATGCCACTAGCAGCGTAAGGGACGGCACGGCACACACAAAAAGTTTCATCATTGCAGAGATGGAAGCGGAAGGGGCTTAAGCAATGTCAACGGCAAATATGAATAATGAAAATGGAAATTAATTTTCATGCGCAAGTTTTCCACATTCAACTTACAACTAACTGAGGGCCAGAATGGGAGACATTCCGAACTACCGTCGGATGGTGGTGGCCGGGGATGGTGGCTGGATGTGCGGCTCTTGTTGCCGGTTTTTAATTACAGCAGAGCATTTATTTATTATGCATATTTTTTAACGCCAGCCCTAGCATTTATGTATTTGTTATAATCATATTTGTGCACTGTATTTGTGCTGGTGGATTAAAGTAGAAAAGTAATTTATTTTGCTCTTTAGATAAGGTCTTATCCGGCTGCACTCTGTGGACTGTGGCCACTCGCTCAGTTATTCCACGTGTGTCTCCCGGGCGTCTGCTGATTGCCCGATTGACACGCTCCCAGTAAATTGCATTGATTGCACGCAACTTAATAATATTAATGTGCTCATTGAATGTGTCCGCGGCAGGCGAGGCGTATGCGTAATGTCTACCGCAAGCCTGGCCATTACTCAGCCGACCCGTGGCCCCTGATCCGTATGTGTTTGGGTGTCTGTGTGCTTAGCGTTTTGCGGGTCGTTTGTTCTGCGGGTCAATCGATAAAGCACACACCCCTGCCATATAATGAGAGGGCAAACACAAACTCAAACACAAACATTGCGACCAATGTGGAACGTGGAGGGAATGACCAGCCATTACCGCACTCTAGGACCGCCAGACACGCATCAAATTTTATCAACCACTTGTGGTCGTTCCAAACATTTTCCCTCGATTTGACATGCAGCACCGTATCGTCATAATATTGCCAATGGATCTCTCAGAGTAATGAAAAACAAAGGCCTCGCCTCCCACTCCAAATATTTACCATCCCAGAAGTCGCGGCAGTCGGGAGTCGACAGCCAGGAGCCTGGCATGTGTTTGCTTTTGGCGAGTCTGCTGCTCGGGGTCACATTCAGTGCTCGACTTTATTTCCTTTGCTTTTACTTTTGTTCTTGTTGATGTTTGTGCTTATTAGTCCGCATATACGAGCCAAGTCGAGCCGAGCCGAGCCGGGCCGCGCTTTGTTCCCAGGTCTCTTGTCACAAAAATGATGAAAAGTGTCGTGCCTGGCAGGCGGAAAATCAAAATCTCATTAATGTGCACTGGCCCCGATTCCGGCGTCGATTCCCCCTGGCTTATGGCGTAATTAGTTTATTTAATTTGTGTGCATAAATATTTTGTATATGTACGAATACGAATATTTCACAAAAATGTATGCTCTACATGTGTAAAGCGGCCCGTACGGACGACAGTATTCGCATTTGAGTTTTAATTGCCTTTTTAGTGCCACTTCCACACAATTTGCCACGCTCCGTGCCACAATTCGAATGAGATCGGGCGTCGCCCACGGTGGGAGAGTCCTTGCTCACGAGTATATAGTTAATTATACTAATTAGCCATCGCACTGGCCACAACTCGACCAACTGGCCGAATAAATGAATGTCTACATATGCATGGGGAGGCGTCGCTGCTATTTGACTGTTTGGTTATTTGGTTAGCCAGCTAATTGTACATGTTTCCCGTCCGTGGTCCCCGATCCTGATCCGTGTCCACTCGCCGGAACACATTTCACATTTGTGCGGCTCAGCGGCGCATTAAACTTGTTCGCTGACACTTTGGCGGCAAATCGGCAACGAAGCGTTGCACGAATGAATTTCCATGCAAATGAGACGTCGCACACAAAGCCAGCTTAAAGTTGCCCCGGATCACGATTCGGAAATGGAACAAGGAACAAGGAACAACAGAGGGGCATCCAACTCTCACTCATTTCTATAATCAACTTTGGCGCACTAAATCCATCTTAGTTTCATGGAAAAAAATCAATATTCGCGTAATGTAATCCACTGCTGGCTGCCCAAACCATTCCTCCTTGATGTGCCATAAAAATTTGTACGCTTTTTTTATGGTACTTAGAGTGAACAAAACGTCAACGTCAACGTTAACCTGGACGCAGAGGAGACTTCTCTCTGGCGCTGGCCTTGAGCTGTGCGAATTGTAGTTCCAAAGTGCGTCCCGCCACAAAGTTCCGAGCTAAATTGAAAGTATGCGGAGGCAATGGAGGCTAGGGGCCATGGGCCACTGGGCCATTATGCGGTCAAGTTGTCCTGGACTCGGTGACTGGGGCAGTATGTTTGCCATAAATTCTACGGCTCCTCGAAGCGGGACACGGATCAGGCGGAGGGCCAGGGCTTGGTCATGATATCGCCTACGCAAGTGCGTGTCTGCTGATGTTTCGTGATGGAATTAAGTAAACTGAAGTGAAATGAATTGCCGCGTCTCGGAAACCCACACCGAACACTGAACACTGAACACTGAACACCGAACCTAGCAGAAACCTAGAACCAGGAGCCGATATTGAGACGGAAGTGGTAAGCGGATTACGACTGGATCCCTTCGATGGTGCGGAATGGCACTTTGAGTGCAAGTTTGTTTGCTGCACAGGCACAGGGTCCGGTGCGCGATGCGGGATGCCTTTGACTACCACAAAGTTGCGGCACGAAACTTGCTTAAAATTCCTCCATGTTTCAGGGTTCTGTTCGGTTTTGTTTGTCACAATTCAGTACCGGAAACTTTTGCCCACAAAATAGCACAAGGCAAGGCGAACAAAGTTTCTTTGTGAGCGGGGGAGAGAAAAATGGCGGCCGTAGACGGGGCAGTTTTTATTTTTCAATTTAAAGTTTTTAATGCGCTTTCCATAATTTATATCCCGCATGCATGGACTAATCCAGGTCACGCCACGCTAATGGACTGAGGCCATTCTAATCCATCGCCACTTACCTTGAAGAGTATTTCCGGTTGGACATTGTGCCGGCACTTGAAAGTGGCGCTCGAGCCGCGCTCCACATACCGGGGCACCACCAGCTGCACCTCCACGTCCGATTGTCCATCTGTGGGCAGGTTAAACAAGCAGAAAGTCTCGGTTATATGTAGGTGCGGCAAAAAAGCAATTACAATGAAAATCATCGACATGGATGCTCGCCCAATTGTGGCTTAATTGAAAAACCATTAAAAGGGCTTGGCCAAATAAAAAGGAAATCGAAAAATGCCGAACACCGAGAATATGCAGGCAATTTAAAGTGTGGCAGCCCCCCAGTGCCGTACATGTACCCCACATTTTTCGACTATTCTTCTGTGCAAATAAAAGAGGAGACACAGGACCCCCTGGAGACCCTGCCTGGTGCGGCTTCCCACTCTAAACGATCCGTTCTGCTCTTCTTCTGCTCTGAGCTGCCAGCTCTGCCAGCTGCCTGGACATCGTCCTCCCAGGATTGTGACCCCGCCCTGGCTCAATAAATCTTAATTTGTTTGCCAAAGTGCACATGAGAAATTTTTGCGCCTGCATGCCGGGGGCCAGGGGCGGCGGCGCGTCTGCCCGGCACAGCCCGGGTGTCAAATATTTGTGCCCCTCTTTGCACTCGGTCTCTTTCCTTCGCCTTCTGATGGTGTCATCGTGCCATGTGGGGCAAGGTGGCATTTAAACGACATTTTTTCCGGCTGGTAGACCGCTCTACTGACCCCAGTGGCTGGCACGTACGAGGCAAGGTGACGGTACTGAATTGAGCTTTAAAATTGAAAAATTTATATTTGTTCGCACTCCACACTCATGGCCAGCCACTCGCCGGACACCCGCTGCGTATACGTAATGTCTGCGCTGGATATTTTCCGGGCACTTGTTGACATTTAGTGTGTGTTTCAAAACCAAATAAACTGAACGTTAAATGAAATAACTTCCCTGTAAAATGATGAGCATAGCTTTAATCGGTGTGATCTTCTGTACTTTTTTCCTATTTTCCTAGGACATTATTTCCCAATAGACTCTTAGGCAAGACTTTTCAAAATTGCTCGGTGGAAATCGATAAATTAATTTTACATGTGGCAGCAGCTACCAGGGCGCTTCCACCATTCGCAATCATAATTAAGACACAAAGTGGCAAAGGACAAGCAAACACATTGCCACAGTCGGGATCGAAAAGGGCCTGCGCCTACCCCGCGGCGCCAATTTCGATTCCATTTTCATTTTCATTTATTCACACCACGCGTCCATCGTCAGTCACGCAAAATGTCAACGACTGAGTAAGTAAAAAACGTGTCTGACAGCGCGAAAAATATGGAAATAATCGGATAACGTGAGGCCAAAAGAACAAAACCCAATGAAATGAAGCGTGTCAAGTGCGAATGCGAGTGCGAGTGTGCGAGTGCTGTGTGAGTGTTGGCTGTAGGTTGCAGGGTGTATGGACTGCCCCGGAACAGCTGGCAACTTGTTGCCATACATGGTATAAATATGGCCAAAATGCCTTCACCGCTTTGGTATCGTAGCCCCCAGCATGACGTACGTGTTCGTGCCGCACGCTAACGAGCCGAAATTTACGAAAATTCAATCATTGCCCAGGCCGGCCAGACCCAGACCCAGAACCAAGACTCTTCGGTAGATAAACCGCAACCGTCAGCCGCAGGCAAGAGGCACGGGCATCTGGCCACAGGCAAAAGCAGCAGAAGAGCAGACGAAGAAGCAAACTGACACCAGAGGCTGCACGGCCAAAGACCTACGACCCCACTGCCCTCTGACTTGCAGAAACACCCATCCCTCCTGGCTTTATAATCATGTCGAATTTTTTGACATTAATGTCGCAATACTTTACGTCATTTTTTACCCAGCTGGCAGATGGGAGATGGCACCTCGCAGATGGTAGACTACGGCAGGCGGTTGGCGGCTAGCCAATATATATCCAAGAAAAGACAATGAAAAACAGGGCAAAATAACGAATTCGAACTGCACGACGAACCGCTGACAAGGAGCTCAGCAACCGCAATTATGCTCCGCTGACTGCCTGCCAGACAGGACCACAAAAAAAATTCATTACAGGCCCTGGCAAAGAGAGAGGAGGCGACTTCTTTGGGTTGTGCAACAAGCCAACAGACGAGCCGCGTTGGCAGGAGGCTTTACCTCTCCTCCGTTGCCATCCCACTGCGTTTACTGCCTGACTGACTGGATGGATGGTCGGATGGGTGGATGGATGGATGGATGGATAGATGGAAAAAACGAGGTTGCTTTGACAGCAGCTACGTTTTGTTGTACGTGTTGTACTTTTTTACAAGCGGAAATTGATGATTTTCCACGCGCCGAGCGACAATAAAGCGTGCATCATGTCAGAAAAACGCAAATAATCAATCAATCAACATTAATCAACGCTCTGCCCCCGAGACAAGCCGCACTGGGCAACTGTTGCAGCAACTTTGTTCTGGGCCGCTTCCTTCTGACTTTAACAACTAGATTAGGCCTCCAAGTCAATTGAAATTTATTGCCAGATGGAACAACAAATCCAATTCGGAGAGTTATCAATTTTAAGTGTTTCGGGGAGACTTATCAATAGGAACTTTATGCGCTTCCATATTCTCATTCACTCCCAGATGGCAATAAACTTTCGGGCAGGTGTTCAAAAATATACACCCCCTACGAACCGTTTACCGAAATCATTCATAACCATTTACGAGTACGGTATTCTCTCCATTTCAACTTTTGCCTCTGGGCAACCACATTGCTGACCGCTACTCAGAAGCAATTTGAGCCGCTCTCCATCTCCATTCCATTTAAATGAATGGTCCGGAATGAGTGGCAAATGCCTTGATTAATGGGCGCACTATTAAAGTCAATTATTGTTTGCCAGAGGATAATTTAAGAACTATTGAGCTAGCCAGGTGATTGATTGCTCCCGAACCACATGGAAAGGCCGCAATAATTACAGTGTGGCCACCACTGACACTGCCGGAGCCACAATACGAGTTTGCCTCTGCACCACCGCTAATTGTAGCAAACACACAAACAACACCAGGACACACAAACCATAAAGATCAATTTTCGGGCATTTTGTATGAATTGATTTCCGAATCAATATCTGCACTTTGGCAGCTTTTCCATCGATGATTCAAGCTCGATGAACGATGCTCAACGCCGAGGGCCCCAAACGAGTTCAAAATGAATACGAATAGTACGATATTTTGGAGTGAATGATTGTCGGTCAAAGCTCGACGCCTGTTGCAATGACAGGGCAAAACGCAATTATATCAACTCGAGGCGTTGTGGTCAGTCTCCTGTCTGTCCGTCCGTTCGACTGAGAGCTTGTTCGTCCAGCTGTCAGTCAGGCTGTTAGAAGCCCCACGGCGCTTTGAACATTCTGTTGCTCTAGCCATTATGGCTGATTGGCAGACGGATAGCCAAAGCTGTAGCCGTAGCCCAGAACAGAACAATACAAAATGCGAGTGCGACTTAAAAGAGCACATTCCATGGAGTTCATTAGACAGTGGCAACTGCCAAACCGGCCTCCTTTCCCCTATCTGCCCGTCTGCCTGTCTATTCCCCAACAAATACTTTTCAAAACTGATTTCCTGTCCTCATTACTGCTGTTTGTGTGCTGCTCGCTCCAGTAACTTGGCCGAGCTGTGCCGCCGAGCGTGACAGTCAATAATTTTCAACATCCAGTGTCTTGTCCTGCCAGGGCACGGACACCATCCATTTTCTAATTGATTTGTGGCCATGCGGCTTCCCAATGTAAATGTATGCTTGATTGGGAGCCCAAGGCCTGATCCGGGCAGTCATGGCTGACAGACCAATTCGGGCGGCAAAAGTCCGCAAGGTTTTAAGGCTGACCGCACGAAAGCCAACATTTTTCTAATCCCACAAATATGCACAGTGATATACACATGTATATACTCGTAGGAGTACGAGTATATCTAAGGCTGGCACGCACACTATCAGCAAACATAAGCCAAACAATAAAACGGCAAACACCCGACATTTACCCACACTTGGCCAACAAAAAGGATAAGGCCATAAGTCGTTATGCTGCCGAGGCGTTCGCTCAGAAAATGTAAGCACTGGCTTTGGTCGTTGGTCGGCGGGGGCCCGCAGCGGCGGCTGTCCTTGCTGGGGCACGAAAACAAAAGCCCCAACAAGGTCCGCCAGCATGTTGGAGGAGGCATAAAGTAATTTTATAGAACAAATCACAGGCATTAGCGGATATAAATCCAGTTTATCCCTGCCAGTGTATGCGCGCGTGAAATTCAAATATCTGAAACGGAGAAACGGACCCCAAAAGGATGAGGGGGGACTACGGGATGAGGACTAGGACTACACGCAGCATTGGAGGGACGCAAGAAAAATGGCCGATTGTGGCCTGGACGTGGCCCTGCAGCAGAGTATCCTTGGGCATGTTTAGGGCTTGTAATTTCAGATTGGAAATGGAAAAATATTCATACATATACTCCACCTCGAACGAGTGCATGAAAAACTTTATTCCCTGCAGATCCCCGAGGAATAGAACAGAGTTTTAAATTGTGAAACTACCTGGGAATACAAATTACTTTGACTTTGGCAAAAGGTAACTTAAACTGGAGTAAAAACTGTTAAAGTTTTGTTGGCTTCAAGCGTAGGACTCCAAATTGAATTGCCGCACAAAGGCAATCTTTTATTTGATTCTGTAATTTTCACTCGCACATTTTAGTCACATTTCTGAAATTAAATCAAAGCCGAATGCTGCATGAATGAAATCAAAATCAAAAGAAAATGAAAATAGCCAACGCGAATGTCTCTCACAGCAATACACACACACACAGACACCATCCTGTGCCCCCACACACAGAGGCATTCAAGCACCATGACCGACAAAAAGTAGCCAATGTAATGGCCAAAACAAAATATGAAAGAAAATTGCGGACCGGCCAGGGCCAGTGCCAGAGCCAGAGCCACAGCCAGCAGCAGTACGAGTGCCAGCAGCAGCAGAGCCAAAAGCAGAACCAGCGCGCCACAGGAAGCCAACTTCCTGGTTGAAAATTTTATCTGGGCGGTCCTGGCAGCGACTACCAAAATGGGAAGAAAAGAAAGAAGGCAAAA